GTGGCGTAATCATAAACACAATGGCGTAGCGAACATAACTGCACCCGGGCCGCGACACTATATTGGCACCCCCTCCCCCTCCAGAAACAAATTTTGTTTTTCTTGGAAACCATTAGGCTCCCCTCTGCCAGTGGCGCCCGGGGCAAGCTGCCCCAGCCTCTGCTGAGAGGTTTTCTTCGTTTTTGAGCGATAGGAAATTCGGAAGTTCCTCAAGGCCAGGCAGCCTCAAAGGATTAACCCATGGTGTATAGCAGCCTTTACAGTAATAAGGAGCTAATAATTGTGGGAAAATGGAAGAATTGTTGCATTTTCCCCATCAAAACAAGACAAAGAAAACATGCCAGTAAGTGAAAGAGACTGATATGATGTGCACCATTAAGATGTGTACAAATTGTGTAGTATATATGCATCATTCTAGATAACAAAAATATATTAACATGAACTAACCTTTCATTCGTTATGTTATAGAAAACAACCAGACACTAAAACCATGAGTCTGAAGACGGATTAAAAAATTACCAATCGAAATGCATTGTTAAATAGGCGAAATAAAGCGAACTGTTTTAATCTTGGTCTCTGTTAATTGCGGATAAATAATGTTAAGTAAAACGTGATAAATACCACTAGTCTCAGTAATGGAAGAAGAAACCTTTATATATATCTTTTTATATTTTTAATTATTATCGAAAGCTTAATTTTGAAAGCTCAAAATTTTAAAATTTTGAGAAAATTTTTAAATTTTCGTTTTAAAAAATTGTAAATATTAATAAGGAATTTCGTTTTAAAAAATTGTAAATATTAATAAGGAATAACGTCAATAATTCCTGCCTCTCTCGAGATATAACACATGGCAACCATCTGTCTCCCTCACCCCTTTAATATTAAGGAGCTATGATGGTATTAAAAAATAATAAGGAACATCAACGTTCCTTATACACTATCATGTTACAGATATCATGCCGAATTTCATTTCTTATAGTTGTCAACATACACATACACGAAATACTTTTTATTTTTTTTTTGGGTCCAAGAAGTCTCAAAACGTGGAGATTTACAAAAAACTGAGGTTCAAATTTGACAAAATTCCAATGCGCCCCCTTATTATGTATATATAACAGCCGGAAAAGTTAAATTAAGAATATTTAGAAATGCATTTAACTTATCGCTACAGAATATTTTGTCTTGTTTAGAAACGTTTAAATAAAAATTTAAAGAAAGAAATGTCTTGTTATTTACTTTCAGAATTAAAAAATATAAGTAGGATCATTTTGTTCGTTAAGTTATGGCAACGTAACACTTGGGCGATCTACCTAGGGCAGGGGTGGCCAAACTTGGCGCATTGGACGATTACAAGTGGCGCTTCAGTCGTTTCCGAGTAACATTGGCAGATTCGGCTTCATTACATACAGAATTCGGTGCAATCGACCTATTGACCTTTTTTTTTTTTTTTCTTTTGCTTCTACGTTAAACTATGCATTCGTGTTCACGTACACCACTGATGTCATATAGAACTACTTTATACGGGTAGTGTAGCTACCCGTGTAAGACAGTTCTCTTATAAATTATAGATTATAAATAGTTTCTTCTTCTTATAAATTGAAATACCTAATTAACGGGTAGCCGAAATTTTTCTCCGCCCCGGGCTGCTAACACTCACGGTACGCCACTGCGCATCTGAACTCGTCTATCAAAAAATTGGCGCATCGTATGCAAAAGGTTGGCCACCCCTGACCTAGGGGATGCCTTTCAGGAGGTCTTTTAAGGGAAAATGGCTCCTATTTAGGCGTTACAGACGTGGAGAAAACCCGGAAAACTCTATGTGGCCAGCCTATCCGAGCGAGGCACGAACCCACGACCGAACTCCCAGTGTTCAGGATACAAAGACCGCTTGGCCACTGGTATTCAATTTTCTTCCGTCATGGCATCGCTACAGCCACTCTATATAGTATATTCTAGTTCGTTGTTTAGAACATAGTTGAGAGAGCAATATATCCAGTGGTGATATTCGAAATATTTAACAAAGGGTTCGCTAACAGAAAATTTTTCCAACACCTTAAACCTCAAATCCGAGATATCTCGGGTAAATTACATAGTGTTACATAAAACTCGGGCGTTTGGACCCTCTAAAAAATTCTTGTTTTTTTGGATTTTTGGAATGTTTTTTGTCTCCAAATTTTTTCAAAAATTTTTTCCTGCGCGAAAAAATTTTATCGCGATTTTAATTTACCTTTAATGACGCACGATTTACGCTTAATTGCTTTTTAATTGTTTTTTAATGGGAGTTTGATATCAAATTTTATTCATCGTTCTAAAGTTGTAGTGCACAAATTTTCCTTCGATAAAGTTATTTCAAGCTAGTTTCTGGTGTCAAAAACGACCTCCGATAGTTTTTAAATTTTTTTAATTAATAGATTTATTATATATAAGTTTAATTAAGTCGGGGGGTCGGAAATCGCAATAAATATTTTAATTTTTATTGCGATTTCCGACATTTTTATTGCGATTTCCGCAATAAAAATTTTAATTTTTTAAAAATATTTAAAAATATACGGCCAGCTAGTATTCACCCTACTATAAACCCATCGCCTCCCGAGACTTCTATGAGAATGTCCCGGAAAATCGGATTCCAGCTGTGTTCAAGATCATCCAGCTGTTTAAACAATGACTCATCAGCGTCAGATTTCACTGAAAGACTAGACAAAGGAAAATAAAATCTGCAGCTTTTTCTTCAAAATAAACGCATTCCTTTCGTTTTTTCAATTTTAACTATTTTTTATGTTTAATTACAATAATATCAAAAATTGCTAGAGTCCCAAAGAGTTAATATATTTTTTAAAAGAAACAAAACCGCTGAGAAATGTTACGTGTGTTTAACAACGGGTTCGGAAAACTTTGAAAATGTTAATAACGGGTTCGGCCGAACCTGTGCGAACCCGCTGAATATCACTACTGAATATATCTATCGACAATGCTTTAGGTAACGTTGCACACTGCCAACGTTGCCAGGTTTTTGGAAAAATAATCGATTAATCGTATTTGTCATAATCGAATTAAAAAGAATATCGTTTTTGCAGCTTTATTCGATTAAAATCGATTTTAAAGTCTTCGAATAATCTATTAATCGCTTATAGCTAGCCAGAAGCAATATAAAACTACCTTAGGCAGTGGAATGTCGCTTAAGGAGCATAATTCGTTCCAAAATCTTACTCGTAATGCGAAATACTCGTTAAGCGAAACAATTTTTCCAATATAAATTAATATAAAATACAATAATGCATTCCATGCCAAAAAATACTTAAATATTTTATGTGTAACGTTTATTAAAAGAAAATTACATATGCATTGTTAAGGAGCGTGAATCATTTCTTCTAGTGCGAAATGAACAACCTAGAATGCGAATTCAATTTGCAGAAAACAAAAAAAATCACAGGTAATGTCTGATAAACACACCAAACGATATGCCAAATTCTTGGGTTATGTGAAGGCTACAATTAAATACAGTATTAGAAATTAAATGATTTGACTAGAGGCAGAGTCGGTAGATTAATCTACGGACTCTGCCTCTAGTCAAATCTATTTTAAATAACTTTACCGAAGTAAAATCCGTGCACTAGAACTTTTGAACGATGAATGAAATTTGATTTTAAAAAATCTCATAAAAACAATTAAGCGTTAATCGTGCGTCATTAAAGGTTGATTAAAATCGCGATAAAATTTTTTCGCGCAGGTAAAAATTTTTGAAAAAAATTTGGAGATTTAAAAATGTATATTTTTTTCGAGGGTCGAACAGACCATGTTATGTAACCTGCTCGAGACTGACTCGAGCGTGGGGCGAAAGCGGTTTAAGAGCTTCAATGAATACTGACTTAATAGAAGTGATTTTTTTTTTAATAAGGAGTAATTCAGTTCATAACAAAGATGAAAAATAATAAAATAATCAACCTTTTTCTTTACTAGTCTAAATGTTATATTTTTATTCTTAGCTTATATTGTCTCTGCATATAGAACTTATTTAATACCCAATATACTCGTATATTATGTACAACATTTTTATTAAACTAATTTGTTTGTGTACGAATGTATTTACTATTTTTATTCAAACATGCTTACCAAATACCATTGCCATCATCAAACAAGTCACTAAATGTGAATTTATATATTCAGTAGATGTGTCAAATTTTAATGTTTAATTAGTTTTTTAAAACCATTTATTTTGTATTTAAAAAAAATCAGAATCGTTCTCATTATTACTTTCCTGACAGTTATACAGTATAGGCTTATAACAAAGGAAAAGAATGACGATCAGTCAAAAAAATGACTCCCAAATTTTCTCTTGTGGACTCGGGAAGCCTTGAAACGTAGCGAAGTGCAAAAACATTCGGGGTTTTTTCTGTACGCGCGAATTTTAGGGTGCGACTATGCAGACGCGAATTTAGAGCGAGCGATTTAGTTTTCGCAAAGGAAAACCATGCACAAACGAGAAGCGAGAAATAACGCTGGCGAGAGCGAATTTCTGGTTGTCGCACATATCTGACAGGTTTTGATATTTATCGCTTCTCGCTCGCGTCTGCATAGTCGCAGCCTTAGAATGTGTACCAACCGATCAACTATTTCGAAGCTTAACTCCTGTGTTAAACCATCCTACTCCGATTCAAAATCGTGCCTCCTATACAGTCTAACATTCTTACATACAGAAAAAAAACCCGAATATTTTGCATATCTCGACACTTCGAGGTGTCCCGAGTTCAAAAATTATCGAATACATATTTATATATTGATTATGTCATTACTTAGAGGAGTATTTTAGCTTTGGAATAAAAAGTTTCTAAGTTCTATCTTAATTGAAGCTTATATTCTGAGGTCACGTGATTACGTCAGAATTTTTGTGCCTACTTTGTTAACAAGTTCGCCCCTGGTCCGAGTCGGAGTCGTGTAAAAATCTACCGACTCCACAGTCCTGGTTTTTTAATTAACTTTCTTTTTCCGAATAAACAGGCAAATTATAAAATTACATTTATTATGCTAGCATAAAATTGTTTTTAATTGTCCCTCATACAAAAAAGGTTGTTACCATTGGTGTACATCAGGTCTGACCAACCGAATCCTTTTATGGGCCATAGTTACATAGCAGGAAAAAATGTCTCAATCTACCAGATCCAATTTACAAAAATAGCCATTTTTCCATTTGGCAATTAAAATTTTAAACACAATGAGAATATGCAAACACATTGGGCTCTTGATACAGTAAACAATTTTGTTGGTCCTTGCTATTGTTTATGTATAGAATAACTTGAGATATTGACTCAAAGAACTGATCTATCATTCACTGTATTGAGATGTCTAGTCTCTACTATATGAAATTCACTTTGCTACACTTACTTTTTAAGGTGAAAAATGCTTGCATTTGCAATGAGGTTTACTGTATTTTGTATGTTCTCTTAATACTATTCTGTTTCAAAAACTTTATTCTTATTTGATATGCTTTTATTAATATTAGATTTTAGTATATAAAGCTAACTTACCAGTGTAAAATATTTTGCATCACTAAAATGAAAATTTCATCCTTCTCTAATTTTTATATTAAAAAAACTGAATCATAATTTCATAAAGAAAAATAATTAATGATGATGTTCAATATAATTAAATCCAATTTCTGTTAACTAAGTATATGGAAAGCAGAAAGCATTCAGTTTGAAATGTTTCTATTCATCATCAAGTTTGAGATTTTTCCATTTATAAGAACTAAATAATTACCAAATTTAACTTTTTATATTCAAATTTTATTTTTTGTTTAAACCTTTTATTATTGATAAATAATAAATTTAATGTTATAATAAAAATAATACAGGTGAAAAAACTCTTGAAGCTGCTAAATTTTATCAAATAATAAAAGGTTATTTATGTCTCTGTTCCATAAATTATCAGTGCATTTACAATATGTACAGTTATAATAAATGTTGAAAATGTATCAGGACTGTTAAAAAATTAATATTTTGCAAATATATTTTAGACATTGCTAAAATTTGTAAGCACTAATTAAATTTTGCATAAGTGTTAATAATTTTATGAAATTATTGCAAAACAATCCATTGAAATTGGAGTTTTGAACTTTGGCTCCTAATAATTATTTCAATTTTTTTTCTTATGTAATTTTTGAAAGATTTTATCACTTCTGCATTTCAGTCAAAATCTAAAATCTAGAATGTCTTCTTTATTCGTTGTGGAAGAATACTTTCCTTGGCATAGTTAAAGAAGGATAGCAGTCCATATCTCTTTCCCCGTCGGGAGAAATAATTCGTTACAACATCACTATCATCTGAAATAAAATATATTCAAATTTTATAAAATACTCTTTAAATAATATAAATTAATCATCACTGATGCTTATAGTAACATGCATGACAGACTAAAACTTCAAATGGATTACATTATTGAACTAAAAGCATGTATATAGGTCATAGGTATAGAACCATACACAGCTAACTATGAAATCATAATTTTCAGAAAATGGGATTTCAACATTACATTAGACTTTGGTGAATTTTCTCACTAAAGTCTATAGAAAGCCTACATACAACCTGATATTTATCCCATGGAATTCACACAACCTGCCTAAGTATAAGCTAGCCGCATTCCGGGCACTCATCGCGCGAGCTTATTCGCACTACAGCAGTACCCAGGACAGAAACGAAGAGCTCTGTTATATCAATAAACTAGCTAAGAGACACGGGATTAATATTAAAGCTATAAAAAGCCAATGTAAGACACGTAGCAAGATGAGAAGTTTACAAAATACAGAAGAGTTCACAACGATGGAATACAAGGCCTCGCTAAGCAACATATATAGGCAAATAGGAGCTGCTACAAAGAAAAGAATTTACCAAAAGGAATCCCACTATTTATCAGTTGCTAAGGACAGACAAAGATGCTGTGGACAAGAACACTCTTCCAGGAGTCTACAGAATCCCGGTTACAGACACACAGAGGCAGAATATGATGTTCTACATCGGAGCTACCGGAAGATCCATCAAACAAAGGCTGTTAGAGCACCAGAAAAGAACAGCCGTGCACAGCGCTGGCGACGTATGTCTTAGCCAACCCACAAGAGGTCAAAGCGGAGTGGGACTGAGCTAAATTGATACAAATAGTACGTGACAAAAAGCACCTCTGAATACGCTGAAGCCTGGCATGTCTGCAAAACAAGCCAAAAAGGTTTAGCTATCAACTTCCGGGATGCAAGCAAAATATCGGCAGCATGGCAAACATGCATACTATAAGAGTCAAGAAAGTTAGCAAAGTAGCAACTCTCTTAACTTTTGTTTCTATCTGCACTTTATTGTATTTTAATGTATTTTATTGGTATTATTTTAACTACTGTAATTACAGCCAATATGTAGAGATGGTGCTTATACAATAGAATATCTTTTTTAAAACGTTCCAAAAATAACGCTTATATCGGTAATGCAAATTTTAAATTCGAAGTTCGATTGTTCAGTTTTTTTCTTGATAAAGACCATTGAATATGGTCGAAAATGTTTGAATTTATCTATTAAATTACGGCTGCATAGGTAAAGGTTTGTTTGAGTGTATTTAGTCAACATTACACCCAAAAATATTCTATTTACATAACCATCTGGAATTTTACATGTCTGCTTATGGTCCCAAATAGAACATGCTGAATATAATAAGAATATTGTATTCTATTATTGAAAAACTGCAAACTTTAGAGTTAGCTACATATGATCCTATATCCATTTTATATATTTATTAAAATCAATTTCTATTATAATCATAATCAACAAAGTTAAAACAAATCTAGAAATTATTTTTAATAATAAAAACAGTTAATTATGGACAACCAAATGAGAGAGGCAATTAAGTGTCAGATCCAAGATCAAATCTCTGAAGATCCAAGATCAAATCTGCATAATTGAAAAATTCCAGAGATTTTTTTAAGAGTTGTCTGTCCCAGATATGTTAAATCCCATTTCTCACTCCCATTCATCCCACTGTTTTTAATATAAATTATATTTTGAAAACAAAGTATATATTCCAGCAAAATGTACTGTAACTTTCTTACTTATTAAAATAGATAATACTTAGATTATTAAAATACTTTCAAATTTTGATCTAAAAATAACAATCAGCAATTTCTAGTAAAATTAATTGGTTTTCTATACAATTTTGCATAATTATAATATTTCCATGAGATTACTGCAAAACAAATCAATCCTTAGTTTTAAACTTTGGATTTATTTTTTAGAAATACCAGCTATGATGATGAGAACATATTGGGTAATAATGCATTCCTCCTTAAAGCACTGAAATATTAAACAACTTCTATGGATAACCTAATTTTAATTATTGTGACATCATCTCAATGCCAGGCTGCAATCTATATATATAAAATTGCTTGTCCTGACTGACTGACTGACTCACTGATTCATCATCGCCCAGAGCAAACCGCTGGACCTAAAGAGGTAAAATTTGGTGCACAGTTAGGGTACGTCATGAAAACGCACACTAAGAAGGGATTTTTCAAAATTCCCAAGTGGGGGGAGAGAGAGAGAGCATTAAGGCTTAACCGGAATAACGGTATCTACTGTACTATTTTAAATGTGATTTTTTGTTTTCAACTACGTTTAGTCTTCATCGAGAACTTAGGTGTATTAAATTAATAACATTTCAGACATTGTTATAAATATTTTTATCTATTTCGATTTTAAAAATGTTCGAACCATTTTAAATTCGAATTTGTTATTGCATATTCGTTCGATTATAGAACGATTGTAAACGTTTTAGAAAATTTATCAAATTGAAAATAGTTTGTTTGATTTTCGGCAATTCTCTTCAGCGGTAGGTGTTATATAACAATTACTATGGTTATTGAAATATTGAATGTAAATGGGGTTTGCTTGCAAAACCTCTGCAGATGAAGTCGCGGGTAACAGCTAGTTTTAATCATATTTTTAATTTAAAATGTATGCTCTTGATCTCAAATTAGTAGTGTCTTCCCTTGTAGATCATACTTTTTTTAATAACAGAATCATGCCATACATCTATGTAACTCCATTCTAAGAAAAATTTTCAAATGAAATCACGTGACTTCTGGTCTAGATCGAAAGTTTGTATATAGTTAATCAGTGTCTCCTGTCCCTTAGCTTTCCATATCTGATCTTGACTTTCATCTAACACCATTCTCGAGATAAAGGAAGGACAGAGAAAATTTATAGGTTTACAATTTATTCAAATTGCAGCCCAATCAGTCTCTTCATTATTATGATTTTATATTTATTATTATTGAATCATTTTATTATAATCTTTATTGAAACTGAATACACTTATTTACCTGATAAAAGAGGCCGCTTTTCTATGATAGTTGGTAGAACATTTTCATTAGCACAGAGAGAGACAAAAAATGCAAAAGGGACTATCCAAAGGCATAATGTAAAATACGTTAAAACCTGTAAAGAATATTTGAAAATATTAAATAATTTAAATGCTATTTATAAACTTTTTAAAACTCAATCAATCAACATTTATTTGTTATGGCTTTCGCCTTTACAAAGGGGTTACAAGATCTTGTAACATTGACAAATACAAACATTGTTATACATGGTTTCAAAGATATTAAAGCTTAATTAATAATGTTATGTTAACACGTTAAATAAATAACAGAAAAATTTATAAACTTTAAATAGCATGTAAGAGCTTAAACTATCATCGTATAAACAATACATATCAAAATCAGTTGTCAATAAATTATCCCTTAAATGTTCAGTAATTTCACAAGATACAAATAAGTGGTTTTTAATACTTTCACAGAGTCGGTTACATAATGGGCAGTTAGAATGGGCGGAAATATTCATTCTACGCCTATTTAATACAATAGTATAGTCATTAAGTCGCAATTGAATTATNCCATAATAATGTTATCAGAGAGATGACAAATTTCTAACTTACCAAGTTTCCGAGAAACCATTAAAAACAAGCCTCCAGACAGTCTTCCAGGTCCCTCAAGTTTATGAGCTAACATTTCAGTAAAATAAAATTGGGATTCAAATGATGAAAGAAAGGTTTTCACCGAAAATGTCATCCATGATTCAGTTATACCAACAATATGATATGATGATACAAAATCAACAAAACTCTTATCAGAAAAGTTATCAAACAATGAACCTTGACTATTCCATGACAATACCTTTAATGTATAAGAAACCTCTGAATGAGGTTTCTTATACGTTACAATTGAAGCTTTTAATTCTCGTCCATTCGACGATCCAACGACTTCCCTGGTGATAAAAAAGGATCAATTTTCATCAGCTTATTATTTATTAAATCAAACATAAAGTTTACTCCATTTATTGTTAAACAATCAGCTCTCATATACGCATTTTTTCCGGTCTTCTTGGCCTCTTGATAAAAAGGAAAAAGATTTTTTCTCCTAACTCTCGATCTCCAGTATAAATCATCAAAAAACTTTACCCTCGAGCATCCTTCCCTCCTCTGAATATTATGAACATTCCGATAAATGAATTTTTTTATCAGAGACAATATCAAGTTTAGCCACCACCAATTTGTTTTTTGAGATTATTTTAAAATCTTTAACCAAAATTGAGTCGCCACTAGGTCTTTTAATAGATGTTAAAATATCGGAAGCCAAGGACAAAACTTCAGACGAGTTTCCCTCTAATCCAGCAATAATAATATTAATTCTCTGACGTTCATTTATCGACGAATCCAAAAGATATAAGAAATAGGAGGTCGAAGCAGTAGATGAGGTATTTAAACTTGAAATTTCTTCCACCTTCCTCTCTACATTGAGGAGACGTTGTTCAAAATCTTTATGCAAATTTGCCAGCCATTCGAATTTAGTAGACAAATCTTCAAGTTTAGTCAAAATAGTATCAAATTTTTCCTCTAAAAAGGAAAATAAATTTTGGGGTACATTTGAAGAAGAAACCAAAGGAGGAAAAAAAGATTCCAATCGCTGAGATTTCAAAGTCGGTTCACTAGGAGATCTTTGACGTTTTCCAACAACTGATATGGACGATTCCGAAAGAGGGGTGGAAGGTGGAGTGCGAGACATCGGTCCAGGGTTAGATTCAATACCTCCAATTACCAATAAAGCGCAAAATAATAAATATACATCAAAATCTTTAATGAAACCAAGATGAAAAACCAGACGTTTAGTAGAAGCAAACATATCCAAAGCACTTTAATTCAATAAAAAACAGCTCACTCAAAAACTCACTAACATTGACGAACGTCGGAAGCGCCCCCCCTTTTTAAAACTACTTTTCCAGTTAAAATGATAAATTCCAATGATACTAGTTAAAATGATAAATTCCAAAACTGCATTAATACCAAAAAATCTTAAAGTAAAAAAAAATGGAACATTCATCCATTTCCATTTTTTACTGGATTTAAGGGTTTTTGGTATTAATTATAGTTTTCCATCTTAATCATTTCAGCCACTTTAGCTAAACATAAACTTAAACTATTTTACTTTTAAATATTGTAAAATCTAGCCAAATAATTCCTATGTCTAGATTCAAATACCATTAGAACTACAAAATGTGATAATTTTGCCCATGCTTCAGAGTTTTACAGAACACATGTATTTTGGAAAATCTCTGAAAATGTATATATATATAATTGAATTCATGTTTGTCTGTCTGTCTATTCAAATATAATATGAGAATGGATGAACCGATTTCTACAAAACTTTGCACAGGATAGTCCTAGAAAGGGACAAATGCTACTTTCCATATCCAAAATATTCAATTTTATAAGCTTTGATAGAACTACAGTGGAACCTCGGTATACGTCTGCTTTAGAATACGTCCAATTCGGAATACGTCCTGTTTGGACAAAACAAATTTTGCTTGGTATACGACTTTTGTTTGGTATACGACATAATTCAATTATAAGCACCATCTATGAACAAGTAGCACTACCGGTGTACTACACTAGACTAGACGTTCGCGGTGCTACGGTTTATAACTTTCTTAAATTTCTTCTGATTTTAATTTGTAAGTAACATTTTATTATTTTTATTAATCATGAATTGCAAAAAGGCAACAGAAAAATAAAAAATGACTAGAATCACAACGGAACCGAAAAAAAAGATTGTTGAGAAATATGAAGGTGGCACGCGTGTTCGAGATTTTAACGAGATTTAACTGTTGCATTCCATATTCCGAGAACGACGATATCGACAATCGTGAAAAATAAAGTCATTATTAAATCCACTAACGTTGCAAAAGGGGTTAAATCAATTTCTAAACAGAGATCGAAGACATTAGATCATGTCGAGAAATTGCTGTTGCTTTGGATAAGTGAAAAACAGTGTGCCTGTGACAGCGTATCGGAAGAAATTATTTGCGAGAAAGTTAAAAGGATACATGCTGATCTCACGAAAAATCAAGCAGAAACTAGCGAGGAAAGCGAGGTGTTTAAAGCCAGCCATTTTTTTACATGAGAACGGATTAATCATTTTTACATTACTTCTTATGGAAAAGGTTGGTTTGGTATACGTCCTATTTGGTATAAGTCCAAACACCAGGAACGGATTAAGGTCGTATACCGAGGTTCCACTGTATATCATTTGCTAGAGTAAATAGTTCATATCTAATTCTTATCATATCTTTTGCATAAATAATAAGTTTTGTCTGTAGTCCAGCTAATATTATGGTCAATAATTAATGGATGAAAGTGAATATCTGTGTAAGCTGGTCAAATGAAATTTTGACTGGTCAGCCTGTTATTTGAGCAAAATGTATACAGTACTAAAATATGACTGCTGCCATTATCTATATCAATGAATCCTTATAATTTTTTTTAGATGTAAAAAATATATATACTGTATATCTATATATTTTTTACATCTAAAAAAATTATAAGGATTTATAATTGGATTCATAAAGGATTGTAAAATTAATTTGATATATATATCAAATTTATTTTACAAGTATTTGTAATCCCTATAATTATTTTATTTATGCTTCTAACACAATAGTGCGCTATAAATTAAGACACTTGGCGGGTTTTCTCATCTCAACCCGCCAAGTGTCTTAATTTATAGCACTCTATTGTGTTAGAAGCATAAACAAATTGTAAAGCACGGTTTCATATCATCAAAATCTCTATAATTATATTGTATGGGAAATTGAAATGGATAGGTTGGGGCAGTTTAGAACCATTGCATTTCAACTCAAAACAAGTCAATGACATATAATTAATTTCTAGTAGAGAATAATTAATAAATGAATTTACCGTAAGTTTGTGTTGAAAAATCTTGATAAGTACCAAAGTAAATAAAGAAAATACAATTTTAAAATTTTCATTGCAAATTTTGTTGACCTAGAAAATTTAATTTAAAATTATGAAGTCTGACTATTAGTCAAAATTTCAGTTCTGTCTATTAACCATCATTATTTCTCACACACTAAACACACAATGTTGATTGATAAAATCAAACTGATTTGAAAATGCAATTCCCAGCAAAAATCCGACAAATTGAATCCACTCATTTCTCTGCTATACAGTCTCATTATGTCAAACAAAGGTTGCTGATGTGTCATAAATTTGTTCAAATGAGCCAAATCCCTGCATACTGCAATTTCAGGCATACATCCTGAGTGAAGCCAGGTACTTCAGTTTCACTCAGGATATACCAAAATACAAATACACAATTTCTTTTTGAGTTTCACTTTCAAAATAGAAGATACAATAATTTTAATTTATCCAAATTTGTACAAAAAAGAAAAAAAATCAAATTAACAAACCTTTTTAAAACTAATTTAAGATGAAGTTTCAAGCAACATTATAAAAAGTTCAATCCATTCAATAATTCAAATTAATCATGCTTGTATTAATCAGATTCAATTACATCTATTTCATATTTATTAAATAAATTTATACTTACCTCAGAAAATGGATAATACACAGAGGTGAAGTAGGAAAATGCCAAATAATGATTGATTATTGCAAAAACTGAAAATTATAACAATAAAGATTAATTGAAAAATAAAAACCAAAATGTCTGATTTTAATTAAATTTTGTTTTTAATGTCATTTAATCATTTAGGTTTAGTAAAGTATAATTACTGAACATAAATTTACCAATTCTATGAAGATGATTATTGTTATATTCAGTAATTGACAAGCTGTATTTATTAATCTTAAATATTAAGTCTATATATTATACAATTTATATATTATTATATATATATACAATTTATATATTTAAATATAAAATATTAAATTTATTTTTCTTATATATCTTAGATTATAACACTCTTTACATAATATATAAATGTTATCCTCTTAATGCTCATAGTGCAAAAAGAATTGGAAAAAATATTTGTAAATAAAAACTTAATTAAAAGCTTAGTAATAAAAACAGAAATATAAATTTTTTTTCCTAATAGTGTAATCAGCAGTAATATATTTTTAAACCTTTATTCTATTATTATTTTATAATGCATTCAGTTAATCAAGCAAAATTTAAGATATTATCAGCAGTTAAGTTCTTTAATATCTATACTTGGAAATTAAAACTGCTTTTCATTGAAGTAAAACTAATAAAATATTTGTATTATTTATTATATTACATTAAAATGTCTTCTATATTATTATTATTATTAATGAATGTATTATATCTGTATTATCCATTCATGCATGTATGTTCATGATTTATCAATATCAGCACTGAGAAAGTACACAATGGACCTATTAGGTCAAAGTGCTTCTGCTTTTGCACCACGTGTATTAATGCTTAGAAGAGAACAATTATGTAAATGTAAAAAAAGTAACATGCTTTCTAACATTTGATTTAATGCCAACAAATCCAAATTTATTAAAAACCTAATATCAAAACAAATTTTTTCAATCACATTAATTGGGTACTACATACTAATGTTGATTTAATTTTTGTTGCTTGATTTCACAAAAAGAATTAAAGTACCTAATTTATCATTAATATTAAATAAAATAAGTCATTCAATTGTTCATTAAATTTTTTGAAGAGTTGACGATAAAAAAGTGTGTTTTAATTTCTAATAATATTTAATCTTAATGTAATATTGTAATAATCAATAAAACAGCAATGATTTCCCACTAATTACATCTTTTAATTAAAAATTTACTATAGTCTGTTTATGTAAAGAATCAACTTGAGAACAATGTTATGTGATGTTGCTTTAGTTAAACCAATCAGCACATTCTCTAATGAGGTCAGCACTTTTCACTTGATATGTCAGGCAATATGTGAATTTTATTTTATATTCTCTCACTAGATAGAAAACAACTTTTTTGTTAATTGTGTCAATTTTTATAGCCTTCATTAACTGTAAAGAATCATGCATTTAATTATTACTATAGCAAACTTCCTCATATTCCACTTCAGAACATGAAGCTTCCATAACACTCTTTATAATGACAGTGAGACAGTGACATATTTAATAAATGAGGAAGAAACCAGAAGTAACTTGCCATAACTAAGCAATCAATGACTGATGCTAATTAGTTAATACCTAAGTTGATTTTTTCCATAACAGACTATATATTAATCTGAAATAAATTTAGCCAAGCAGTTATTGATCCTTTAACTGTTTGGTTAAATTTATTTCAGAATTTTAAAAAAATTATTTTATTCCATACATTATGTAGTCATTTTTGTGTTTATTAAACGTTTTCACTTTGATCCCTGAGCATTTGTGCCCATCATTAGTCTGATAAGTCCTCACTATTATCTGCCTCACAGTTGTTGATAATTTAATTATTATAATTATTTTATTCTGTAATTCATTGATTCCTCATCACAATAATTCCAAAGAAAAAAAAGCCTGTTGTTATTTAATATTGGTTATTATTTTATTTTATATCTATAGAAAAATATTATTTTTTTCTATTTTACAATTTTTAAGCAATAATTTTGTTTTCTTTCAGTCATTACAGTAAACTCTTGCTAAGCTGAACTGCATTAACTCAAAACTGGCTATAGGTCCTGGACACAGTATATAGGGTTTTCCATATAATATGGCCTTGTTAAGTCAAAATTGTTGGTACCTTTAACTCAAACCTATTTTTCCATGTACTCTCAACCTTGTATTCTTGCCCTCATTTTTCTTTTATTGTGTGTGAATACAGACAATTAAGATAAACAAAATTACAGCTCCAAGTAAAATACAACATGCCATTACATTGACATTCTTTTATGATATGGTATTTTACTGATGTTCTGATTGGGACACAAGGGGGCATATCTTGACAATGCACTCAAAAGCACCTTAAACTGTATGCAATTTTGTAATCATGAACAGATTCTTGAGAAACAGCTTGATAATGAAAAATTTACAGTCACAGAAGAATTTGAGAAAATTGGGTATTAAACTCATTAACTTAAAAATAAACTGAAGTAAAGATTTTTTACCTCTTAAACTTTGACTTAACAAAGTTTTTCTGTATTATTAATTAAACTTATTTTAATAATAAATTAACAATCTAAACATTCTATAAAGAAATTATTTAACTTTCCATTTATCTTTTCTACCAACTGAAAGTATGTAAAGAGAATTTGTACTAGCATCTACTTGGAAATGGAACTGCATCTGTTAATAATTTTATAGCAAGCACTTTTAAAATTATCTATACTAATATTATAAAAAGGTAATGTATGTATGTATGTATGTATGTATGTATGTATGTATGTATGTATGTATGTATGTAAGTTTGTTTGCAGCAGGTAATCTCCGAAACTACTCATCTGAATTCAAAAATTCTTTCACCAATATTTAGAATGGAACCTCAGGGTGGACATAGGCTGTATATTATTCCATTAAACATTCATATAAATTAAAATATATAATCTAGGTTAAGGCTTTTATGTCCAACAGCTACGAGTACAATGCCCTAAGTTTGCTTTTCTGTGAGGCATTATGCTTTTCTGTGAAAATGAACTAAAGCAGATCATCTTCTATCTATCTATATAAATAAAAATATACTGTTTGTTTGTTCCTACCGATTCCTTTGAAATTTTGACACAACGCTGCATTCAAATACGCACGTGTTTTTATATAATATATGTGTCGAAATTCCCCCCACTGAAGGGAGATGGTTAGGATTAAGGCTTACCGTAAAGAACTCTGCTTCTATTTATACTATTTTAGATGCAATTTTTTGCGTTTTAATAGGGTACGTCAAGAGAATGTACACTAAGAAGAAATTTTTCGAAAAATTCCCCCACGGGGAAGTGTTATAAATTTATAATAGATACATTTTGAGCCACAACAACGCGTAGCGGGGTCAGCTAGTTTTCTAATAAATTTACTTTTATAGAACATCTTATCAAGAAATGATTTGTTTTAATTATAAAATATTAAGTACAGTACTTGATACTGTTGTATCAATTTGTAACTTTAAAAAAAAAATAGCACAAATTTCGAAAAATTAGCATATAAACTGTAGTTTATAAATCTTAGTTTGCAAATAAAATAGTCTTATAATTATTTCAATTACAAAACATCAATTATCCATCAATTAGATTTAAAAATATCTTAAATTACTGCCAAAGAAAGTTTACAGAAATTTCAAAAATATATGTAGTCAAAACAGCTCTAAAATCAGAATAATCTCAATATTTTTGTTTTCGTAATCAAATACAATTTCTCTCAAACTAAATATATTTTATATACTGCAAAAAATTGTGCATATATTATATAAAAGAATACATTCTTATTTTAGTATGTCTTCCTTATTCAACAATCATCACTGACAGTTAATATAATTTTTCCTCTCTACTTTCTACAGTTAAAACACATTATTAACTGTAAAGGTTCAAATATCATGGTTTATAAAAACACATTCCCCAATTGACAATAATAATTTTGAATATTATAATTAATTAAAATCTATTACATACCAATTGTGCCTATAAAAGGTATTGACATTGGAATAAAAAATGGAAAAGTTCTCAAAACAAATATATGTAGGATTTGGCTAATTACTCCACATACAATCATAGACGTTGGCAAATCTTCAAATATAAAGAGCCCTCCATAGATAATGAAAGTAACCTTTAAAAAAAATTGTTATATTAAAAAGCCGTATAAAATATACATAGTAAAATTTTAATTCATAATTATAAAATTGAAAAGAAAGCAGAAGAAAAATTTCTAAGCTAATTAAATTAGAATTTTAACAAAAATTTAGTATATGTAATATTTAAAAATGTCATTCAACAAAAAGATCATGTTATCAATTCTCATTTTTATTTATTTTATTTCATATGTTGTTATTATTTATAATGAAATCTTGTTTGTTATTAGATATACTTATTATAATTTTAAATTATATATTTNAATAAACAGTTTTATTATTTACATGAATAATAGCAAACATATTCTATGTTGCTGAAGTATCTCTCTTAACATCATTAAATATTTTAATATATATTTTATGATCTATAATTCAAACCACAAGGACATTTAAACAATATATAAAGCTACTAAAGCTAAAAGAAAGATTTACACTAGTTTCTAGCTTGAAAATCTCTATGAAAAGCAAGAAAAAACTTAATTAAAAAAAAAAATGTAAAATAAGGAAAATTAAAATTAATTTAGCTAAATCACAGAGACTGTGAATATATATAAATTTTAATTGTTACAAATTATTTCTAAACTCTCATTAACATAATTTTATGAATTATCAATATACTAGCAGATAAGCCCAGTGTTGCTCGGGCAAAAACTAACGATAGTGAAGATTAAGATTATTACATTACAGCCAATCTTACCTGTTTTCACAGAATGCAAGAATTAGGTCCCCCTGTTTCCAGACTAATTTAAAAATTTTTAGATGGACCTAAAAATATGTTCGATTTCCCACAAAAAATGCAAAAAAAAACTGCATCTGCGCCTGTAAATCTTGTACATTGCTTTCTCTTAACACTTACATTGTTATTTAACACTTTTATTGTTGAAGTCTTAATCCTGTACCCCAGGGGGATTTTGAAAAATCCCTTCTTAGTGTATGTTCTCATGACGAGCCCTAATTGAGTACCAAATTTCAACTTTCAACTCCTAACAGTTTGGGCTCTGCACTGATTATCATCATCAACCCTTCTCAATTATATATATATAGATTCAAAGAACTGCTAGAAATTTCCTTTGCTAACACTTTTGTCAAATTAAATTTGATTGACTAAATAAATAAAATATATTTTGTATAATATATTGAAATGTTAAAAAAAAGTTTATTTTGTAATCTTTATATTAATAAAAAAATATTAAAAATTAATATTTATTTGTATTTTCCAATACTAACTTTTAAATTTTTAAACTAATACAATTTAACGGATATCTTGATACCTTTGACTCCTTGAATTACGTTTTTACAGTAAAATGTTTAAAATGTGTAACTCATCAGGGTAAGAAGTCTACATTATTTATTTTGATCAGTATTTTTAAAATCTCTTAGGTACACCTTCTGATCATTGTTTATAACATTAGTCAAACATCAAGTTCAGAATAACATAATTTAATACCTAATTTATTTATTAATAAATTTGTTTGTAATATTATCTGTGAATATATTATAAATTATAACAGAATTTATATTAGTTTTATTAATTTTAAAATATTTAGTACAATGCTAAAACTAGAAATATTTGCCAGATATAATCATTCACTTTTATAACCACTTAAAAGAGGTTTTTGGACAAATAAACTGAAACGTTACATCCTTGAAATACAATGTTCACTCACCCAAGTTCAAGAATTACTCAGAACATGAGGTCATTCTAAGATATTTTATTTAAATGCATTTTAGATCAGCATTCTTGCCAATTTCTCTCCAGTAAAGGTACAATCTGCAACAGAGTTTACACCAATATCTAGGACTCTCTGACATTGATCACAGTAACCAATCATCATGACAATTGTTACTGTAACTTTTAACTAGTTATAAAAGTGAATTTTAAAATACTGTCATAATAATTCTTATCACGACAATATTTTCAGTAAACATTTAATCAAATAAATTTTATTCTTTACTCAAATTTAATTTATATTTAATAAAAAATTAATATTTTATTTACATCTTTTAATCCATAATGCAAGCTATCTTAATTTAGCAATAAAAAAAATATATGTATAACTCACTATGATTATAACTTTGATAACTTTTCCAGAAAATACAGTGTATTCTTCTACAAATTCTGCCAGATAATAAAGTCCTGCAGCTATTGATAAAAGAAAAAACTGTGATTAAATTTTCTTTATATTTAAAAATATGACATTCTAAATCCAAAATATGGCCTGCATTTTATTAATAAATTTGACAGAGTTAATATTTAAAATATTTTATCAATATAATTACAAATTAGTTATTCTTTTCAAAATGCAGAGGAAATGTCTGATCAAAAGTCTGAAAATACTGATCACTTAGATGTTAATAATCTTTGTAATATATAGATTTAATTAATAAATTAAATAAAAGAAGACAAAAAAGTTTATTTATTTTGTCTTACACAAATTATATATCCAAATACTAAGATTAGCATTGCTATAAGGAAAATTTAACATTGTTAATCTATTGGGTTGTTCGGAAAGTAATTTCATTTTTTTTCCAATAAAAAAACAATTTTCTTACAATATATAAATATTTTATTGAATTACACTGTATATTGACCATTTTGGTCCAATATCTGTTGCCATCTTTCTGGTAGTAGCATGATTCCAAATTCACAGAAGTTTTGATCTTTGCTTACAAAAAACTGATCCAAGTAATTTTTTACATCATCATTTGAAGTAAATGTTTTACCATTTAAAAAATTGTGTAAAGTCCAAAACAAATAATAATCTGAGGGTGCCAGATCTGGCAAATATGTAGATGTGGTAGCACATCCCATCCAAGTTGTAACAATTTCTTACGAGTTACCAAACTCATTTGAGGTCTGGCATTATCATGTTGAAACACTACACCTTTTCTGTTTGATAGTATCACTCAATTTGTCCACTTTCAAATCAATTGTGGAACTGTTTGGATGAAGCTCATATAAAAATTCCCTTAAAATCCTACCAAACAGAGAGCATCACTCTTTTTTATGAATATCAGCTTTTGAAGTGCTTTGAGGCAACTCATCTCTTCTACTCCCTGATCTCTTGCATTCAACATTGTTATAAACAATCCATTTTTGTTGCCAGTTATGATTTGTTTCAAAAGTGGATCATTTTCTTGATGTTTGAGAAGCAAATCACAGATGACAATGTGATGGAGCAAATCTCTTTCTTTAAGAACATGTGGAACCCATATATCGGACTTTGAAATGAAAAAAGTCATTTCAAATGATTGTAAGATGTTGAATTCGACAAATTCAATCTCTTAGCGATTTCTCATGTTGTTATTCAGCAGTTTGCTTCAATCAAACCTTTATTTTGTCTTCAGCTTCAACTAGCCTTCCAGAATGTGGTGCATCTTCAATACCAAATTTGCTGGAACAAAATTTTGCAAACCAGTTTTGTCATTGTCAATCTGTCAACACATCTTCTCCATACATGTCACAAATTTTTTTCTTGCTTGAACAGTATTCTTTCTTTCTTTCATTCTTTCTTCGGTAATAAAAAGCAAAATATACCGAAAATGCTGCTTTCAATTTTCCATATTTGATGGGACACCAAGAAAAACAATTGTACAGAACTGAACAAAAGTTTTTAAAAATAAACCTTGAAATGTCAGCTGTCAAAATATATAATGACAATACAGTTTAAAATGAAGTTGGCAGGTAAAAATACAACTAATCTGTCTGATGGTAAAAAAACAAAATTACTTTCCAAACAACCCAATATAATCAATGATAATTTTAAAAACAAAATCAAATGGCAATAAATTATAACTTTCCAAAAATGTAATATATGATAGTAAAATATGAAAATATTTTTAAAAATCTAGAACACACTATTAGAATTATCTTCTAGACAGTTTATCAGTTTATTAATTCCTAAACACTATGTAGTGTAATAAATTCAAACATTTGGCATTCTATCATCTTTATTTAGTTCAGTTGATACGTGTTTAAAATACATGTTTTGGACGTAACATGCCCCTCTTCAGCCAACTAAAATTATATCAAAAAATACATTTCGATATAATTTTTAAATAGATTTTGCAAATACGTGAGCTGTTCACAGCCCAACACACGTATTTGCAAAATCTAAGTGACTCATATAACATGGAATTCATATAAAATGAAATTATCAACAGTGTTCTAGGGGGTCGACTGTACACCCAAATAAAATGGATAGATTTCTCAAAAAGAAGTGTGATATTGAAGAATCTGATTCTGGAAGTGAGTAAAAGTTAAGTGCAAGTATGAAATCAAAATAGAAGCCTACTCGCAAATTTAAGCTTTGGTTTCACTTGGACCAAAAGTGAAGATCATCCTTTACTGCTACGTTTAGTATGTGGATGTAAAATGGCAAATAAATGATTGCTTCCTAGTAAATTGAGTAAACATTTTAAAACTGTGAGGGACGAACAGACCCTCAATAAAGTGTTATTTTAAATTTTAATTATTTTGGAATTCAATCATTTAACTTTGATCATTTTATCAAAAATCAGGCTAAAATCTAAAAATTATTTCCCACGGATTTGGTTCCTTGTTGAGGATGATCCATCTAGTCATTAGTGTTTCACCCGGAACTTGCAATAGATATCCTGTATTGGACAGTAGGCCCTTAACAACAGACTCCTGACCTCATGGAAAAACCCAGAAGGGAAAAATTACGAGGGAGAGCAATGACAAATCAAGTCAGTCGTCCTCCAAAGTCCATCCACAAAAGTGCGTAATGTCCATTTTATTCTTAAATTTGTTTTTCTAAATTTTGAATCGCATTCATTTGATTTTATTGTTCCATTCCACATGCGTTCGAAATCCACATAACCGTAGCCTGATGAAGACCCGGATGGGGTAGAAAATGTTAGCTGGTGTGTAAACACGTATCACTGGAGTTACAAAGGTTTTTTGGATGTGGTAAATTGTATTTCCTCTGGTGTTTATGAAGAAGTTCATTTCTTATAAAAAAAATGATCATGATAATGCTAGGAAATAAAGCAGTAATGAAAATAAGCAAGATTTCTCTGTCCAACAACACAGTTCACAGGCATATTATAGAAATGTCTTCTGATATAGAGAAAAGTGTATGCCGTAATAAGCTTCAGTATTCAAATTTTGCATTGCAAGTTGTTCAGTCAACGGACATTACCAACATGACGCAACTCTTAGCATTCATCCATTTTATTAATGAAGATTAAATAGTAAATCAGTTTCTTTTTTGCAAAGAATTAATCGTGTCTACAAAAGGTGAAGACATTTTTAACATTTTGAATAACTATCTTGATAAATGGCAATTAACATGGAAGTTGTGTGTAGGCATTTGTACAGATGGTGCCCCTTCCATGGTAGGCTGTTAAGGGGTCTTACATCTTTTATAAAAAAACAAAATGAGAAATGTTATCGTAACTCACTGCTTTCTTCATAGGGAAACCTTCATAGCAAAACATTAGGAGAAAAATTAAGAGAAGTTTTAGATCAAGTTGTTCAGATGGTAAACTTTATTAAAATAAGACCTGTCAAATTGTGTTTATTCGAAAAGTTTTGTATCAATATGGATTCACAACACAGATGGCTGCTTTTATACACTGAGGTGAGGTGATTGTCAAGGGGAAAGTTCTTCCTCATGTACATGAGCTACAACAAGAACTTCTTGCATTTTTTAAAGAGATAAAACAGCTACATTTTTGTAACCCCCTCGGTGCGAATTTTGAATTCCCAGATTACAGTATTTGGCAGATATATTTCAGCAGCTCAATATTTTGAATATTAGCATGCAATGGAAAAAAGAAAATATTCTCTCATCCACTGACAAAATAAAAGCCTTTCAGAGAAAATTACAGATATGGAAAAGAAAAGCTGTTGAAGATAGTTTGGAAATGTTTCCATTGGCAAATAACACTTGCATAAATGACACACTTCCAATAATATTTGAACATTTAATAAGTTTAAAAGAAAAATTGGGTTCTTATTTTTCAACACTTAACACCAAACAATACGATTGGATTAGAAACCCATTCATGGAAGCTTCAAGTGATTTTGGTTTAACATTAACAGAAGAAGAACTGGAAGATATAACCATTGATAGTAAATTGATGACTAAACATAAGGAATTCTCTCTTGAAGCCTTTTGGATTTCTATAAAAGAAGAATATGTGGCAATATCTAAAAAAGCTTTGAACATTTTACTACAATTTTCAACATTCTATTTATATGAATTAGAATTTTCTACCCTCAACATAATTAAGGCCAGGAACACACGCATAAAATTCGGCATAAAATCTACCATAAAACAGAAAGAGTAAAAATTTTTCTGAAATTTTGGCTAAAACATAACTGAAAAAAAGAATGACTTTATTGGAGGAATTTTGGCGTAAAAAGTGAAACTTTTACGCCAAAATTAGAAGATTATAGAACATATTAATATAATCTTCTATAATCTTCTCATATTAATTGATTATAGTAATGCAGATAGAGATATAAAGAGAAGTCTGTTTTGTGACGTCAAAGTAGACACGTGGTTTTTATTCTAACAATGGCAGCAGCAATGATAGTTAACCCTACAATTGTGACAGTCTCAAAAAAGAGAAAAATAAATGAAATAAAGGAGTTTATCAAATCTGTTTGACCATATCAGTGTCTTTATGACATAAAAAGTGTCACGTATAAAGACACTGTGTTTAAACAAAGTGTATGGACGGCCATAGGTGCTAAATTTCAAACAACAGGTAGATCTAGTAGAATCAATATATAGTATTTAGATCACATATTCTTTATTTCAATTCGGAATACAAGTCTATTAACTTAAATTTTCTAAATTATAGCAGAGTCAGCGGAGAAAAAATGGAAGGTATTGATACAAAGGAATATAGATATATGAGAGAAAAAAAATTAAAATTAGCACTTAGTGGCAGTGGTATTCTTGATTGTTAAATTGTAGTTCCGGAATCAACAAATTATTAAATCCATGTAAATCACTCTCTCAAAATAGTTTCTTAACCCACAAGCGTCTCTTTTGGCATTTTTTTTTAATAAAATCATTTCTTAAAATCATCAATGATGGAGTGGAATACAACCATCAACAAATAAAAACATCAGATACTGAAGGCGCTATTTTATTAAACTATATATGACGTTGTTACATTTCTGTTCTCTATTTGGCCAGAATTTTTACGTATGTGTGTTCTGGCATAAAACTGTAAAACAGAAACTGAACTGAAGCTGATTTCTGATTTAGTTTTCTGCCACACAATTTTACACATGTATGTTCTTGGCCTAAGAGTAAAAAAACAGGAATTATTCAATGTATTAATGAGGAAATGAGTTTTCCTTTCACATATATGCCCAAACATTGAAGAAATCGTTGGATACATCAGGCTCATGTTTCTCATAAACACAAAAATGAAAGACTTAAAACATTTGTGTCTGGACCTACTGAATTTACTAAATCTTACTAAGAATGTATCTATATCTTTTTATACATATATATGAGGGCTGTTCAAAAAGTATCGGACCTTTATTTTTTCCACATAAACCAATGATGCGGGAGGCCTCTTTCAGTGGAGTTGTGGAGGGGAGAGTCATGCAGTCCTGAATTTTTTCCTGCCTGCAGGAGGCGTCAGTCACTGGCAGTTGGCCTATGAGTGAGAACGTATAGTGAGTGCTCGTCAGATTCCACTAAGTTGGAAAATGACTTAACAACGTGAGCAGTGATACTGCATCAAATTTTGCCAAAAACCTTGGTGATACCCAAGCGAAAACCATTTGCAAGATTCAGCAGGTTTTCGGGGATGATCCTCGAGGCCAAAAAAAAAAACGCAGCAGGTCGCAGCAATATCAAGCTCATGTTGACAGTTTTTTCGACTCCCAAGGGGTGGTGTATCATGAGCACGCGCCACAAGGCCAAACCAACGCAAAGCAGTACTACCAGGAGGTCCTTTGTCATCTTTGTGATGCTGTGCGATGCAAACGACTGGATCTGTGGTCAACCAAAACTTGGCAGCTCCATCATGATAACACACCCACCCATTCTGCGCATTTAATTCAGACTTTTGTCGCCAAACACAACATTCCTGTGGTTCATCACACTCCATACTCTCCCGACATGGCTCCGTGTGACTTTTGGCTATTTCCCAAGCTGAAAATGCCTCTAAAAGAAACCCGATTTGAGTCGAGAGAAAACATCGTGCAGAATGCGACGGACCGGCTGATGGCCATTCCAAACACTGCATTTCAGCATGTTTCCAGCAATGGCAGGAGTGCTGGGAGAAGTGTATACACTACCAAGGAGACTACTTTGAAGGGGATTAGGGTTTTGTACCTCAAAATCAATAAATGTATTTTTGCAGACCAAAGGTCCGATACTTTTTGAACAGCCCTCATATATATAACTTTTTTGTTGTTTTTTTATTTTTTAACCCCTCTTTTTTACAAATTCTAAAAAGCATAACTCAAAAAAAATGTAACAAAAATGTTTTGTAATGTCAAAATAAATTTAGTTTTGTCATATTTATTTTGTTTAATTACCATAAAAGCATGCTTGGACTTTATATTTTTTTCTTTAATATTTGACTTAATTATTATAACATATTTCTCAGAAATTTGTATACAGTGCACCTAAAATTATTTGTAGAAGTTTAAATGAGCCCTGACTTCAAAAAGTTTGAGAACCACTGGTTTAAATAGTGACATAGAAATGGATAAAGTAGAAAATGTTGGCTGCGACTATTGCAGCAGAAGGTACCATTTGAAATGTTCACCAACAGCAGGAACCCTTACGTTGTTGCTGCAACAATGCAGCTCATATGAGATGTTTGTGTAGTAAATAAATCATAATTCACATAAATGTTCACGTGCAAGTTTTCCTATTTATCCAACTGAATTTATACAGATTAAAACTGCAGTCGACTTATGTGGTTGACAACTGGAACATCAGCGGAACTTGGGAATTTCCTGGTCAACTATCAGGTGAGCAGCCATGTGACTGATTAATTTTTTCCCATAATGTAAACAAAGGTCAAATAAAAAATGTTTTCTTTTCCATGACAAGTATAGAACAAACTTTATTTTCATATATAAATTTTGCTTTTCGCATTACTATACATTATAATAAAAAATATCAAAGTCCAAAACAGCTTTAAACAATCGACTACTGGTGACTTTACCCTATATTTGAATGGCTATTTCAAAAATGGTTATATCTTTGTTTTAAAAGAAAACGAAAATTTGATTGTATTTTTTATTTCTAATTTGTTTATTTTACTTCATGACTCAATCTGTTAATGTTCTGCTTTAATATTAGAAAGGAAAAGTGAAAAGACTGGTCATAAAGCTTCTATGCAATGCTAGTTAAAAGTTATATATATGATTCTATGCAGAGCCGGCCCTACCATAGGGCGAACGGAGCAGCCGCTCCAGGCGCTAAGTCCTAAGGGGTGCCTCAGTGGTAAAGAAAATTAAAGGGTATAAATTAGGGGCAACCAGGAGGGCGCCATAATAGGATCTTGCTCCATCCTAAAACTTGCCTCGAGCCGGCACTGATTCTATGCTATCTTCCTACATATTTTTTCTATCATTATCCGGATTTTACTGTTTGATGAATTACTTACAGATTACAGTACAGTACCTAAAGATAACTTCTACCTTATTTTACAAAGTACTATACAGGCAATTAATGTATGTAACCGAATTTAATATTCACAATATTTTACTTACCTACAGACAATACAATGACACAGATTTGTATAATCAAAGACAAGTAACTTAATAAATATAAAAACCACATTTTTCGTTCTGTTATTTCATTTTACATTTCTATGAAGAAGCATTTAAAAACACCTCACGCCGCCATTTGCTACTCGACACAAAAAAGTGTTGCCGGTTCACGCAAACAAAATTCTAAAATTCAAAAAATTTAAATAAATCGCTTGTAATTTTGAGAGAAATTTGTATTGAAAAAGAAAAATTATTAATTACGTAAAATATGTTTATATTTACTGCTTGTAAATTATTCATAAATTACTAGACATCGAGGTTACTGCAGCCAAAGTAGTTCAGTCCAAGTAAAGTCTTAACTACTTGGACTTGGTCATGCTTGTCTGGATGCATGCCTTATTGAGAGCTATTTTAAATTCTTTTTATAACTGCTTTTTTCAGGAAAAATATTCTACTGTGAGCGATTTTCTAAAGGCAGTTAGTGTACACTATTGCATGCCGCATGGAAAGCTCTCCGTGCTGTCTACAATAGCATTAACTTGCGTGTGCTGTGCGATCGTGAAATGAGCTCTAAAGCTAAGCTTTTAAACATTAATACTAAATTTTCAGAAGCCTATTTTTTGGAAATGCTTGAGAAGTGGGTCCTATTATCTGAACAAGGATCTATTTATGTTTAGGACTATGTGCTCGCCAAGTTTCGTTCGAATCGGAGAGGCGAACATCTGGCCGTCTTCTTGTTAGCAACGATTGACCAACCACTTACTTGTTACAAAAAGATAACAAGGAAAAAATGACCATTCGGAATGCATATTATCCAATGATAATAAAAACTCAGAATTTCAAGGACGCGAGGACTTCTAAAAATTCCAAGTGTCGAATCAATTGTTATGTATGTTTCTCGTGCCAATCTTCGTCTCCGTTTCTTTTCCTCGGATCGACATTCTCCCATCACCGAAAGTCGACCATACCATCCCGAAGCCGTCGAAGGAACTCTCACTAGGGACCGACCTTTATTCAGAACTCTCTTGAAAAGAACAGGAAGACTCAGAGACCGTCATCGACGTTGAACTTCCAAGATCGCGGAATTCTTATAAGCTTCTTTTGTGTCAAATAAACGGTTTGTTGTAACCGTAGAGTTGATACCAATCGTCCCTACATTTGATCCTCTCGACCCCTTGACCATCGCGTCTCCCCCAGCAACATTGCAAGATGTAAGGAAAGCTGATTGTTACAATTTTGCTTTCAGAATTTTTTTGGGAATACTATTTATATTTCAATTAATGAAGTTATGAAATAAAGTTACACGCATTCAAGTTTATCATAATTTTTGTTTTTTTGGTTTTGTAACTCAAGTATGCTGTATTTCTATTGTTGTTCTCTGATATCAGGGTTGAATATTTCATCCAACAATTCAAACATCCAGAGGTTAACAATGACAAAATTTTATTCACTACATTTCGTTATTGCACATGCATTCGGGATAATTATTTTTATATCACCAAAAATTATAAAGTTGAAGAAAAACAAAGTAAACAGAATAATGCAGAACATAACATCTTTGGGACAGCGCGATTATATCCCTTGATAGATGATTGTAACAAGTTACCCATCAGAGTCACAGTTTTGGCATAAATTATGCAAGCTATATTTCCTTCTGTATACACTTTCTGCGACTATTTTAAGCATATCCATTTCAGTGGCGTAGCGTAGTGGGGGCGGCAGGGGCGGCAGCAAAATTTTACAATAAATAATAATATCTTGTAAAAATGTGAACCATTTCATTTCATATTTTTGTCGCACCTACGATTCGGACCGATTAAAATGAGCACGGAATTTTTTATTACTTATTCTGTGACGAAACTGAATTTTAGTCTTTTAAATTGAGATATCTAAATAAGGGGGCGGCTGACACCCACGCTACGCTACTGATCCATTTTTCTCACCAATGATTTGGAACCCACAACACAATTCATCACCAGATCTGTCTCAAACAACTTCTAATTCCTTCGGCTTCTTGCATCTTTTAGTTTTTCGTTTAATTGCTCGTTTGTTACTTTTAATCTGGAAATTTAATCGTTTCAATGGTGTAAAGTTCTAATAACAATTAGTCTATATGAACAAACATTTGTTTTCCCCATGTTATAACACGGGAAAGTATTATTTCAAATTTTCATTTTACTTTTCTTGTCATTTTAACGTAACATGTGTTACGTTCCCAGCTGGTACTGTACATTGAAATAGTGTTACATTTGACCTTCCGAGTTGTTGGAATCGTAATGTTTTGACAAACCCAATAAAGGAAAAAACCTAAATAAAAAAACCGCTCGATGCATTTCGTTTAATATCTCAGGATGAAGTAAAAATTAAATGAAATTTGGCATGGCGACTTTATAAAAAGACATTAACCACCAAAATTTAATAGCATCAAAGTTAGAGGTCGGCGATACCTCGAAGAGGGCTTTTATAAAATTGTAAATGCTAATAAAATTTTTACTACGAAAGATTAAATCTCATAACATGAATCTAATCATTGATATAATATACATCAACACTACTAAAATCAATGAGGAGAGAGGGAGTGCACTGTACATATATCAATAGCATATGAATTGTTTTAAAAGTTTAATCAACCCCAGCAAAGAGTTCAGTATTCTGAGGAAGTTTAAACATTTTAAAATAGTTTTAGGAATAAAAAAAATATACAAGTCAAATAGGAAAACCTCGTAATCACCTGCACAAAGTGGACATAACCATTTGAGAGGGTACGAAATGTTAAATGACGAAAGTATGCAATTTCAACTATTCGATGCAAAACCAAATTTTCAAGCGAGTTGCAAGATGTTTTCTAGATTAAACTAGACACTTTACACTGTCGTTCAAACTTTAAAATTCATCTCGCAAACACATGCAACTAAGTTGAATCAGCCAAGTTTGAAAAGGTTAAAAAGGCATTTATTTTCTACGATTTCTTAAGTCTGTTTCACTGTCTAAGAAAGTGTATGATCGCAGTAGAGTGTCGTATAGGGAGAATTTAAGAAGCTTTATTATAGAGCCAAGAAATTGGCGTGCTGTTCAACACTACTAAGGAAAAATTAAAAGTTATGGAGCTTTTAAAGTAACACTTTGCCTTGTTTCCGTATACCCGTCATTTCTGTACCGAGTAAACTTTCAAGGCTATAAAGTTCAAATTCTGGGATTTCCAGACATTCATATAAAATTGACCACAGAACAATTTTTGTACACGATTTTCGACAACGAAGATTTAATTATAATTAGCACGAGAGGATAGTTTTATTCAATTTGAGACAGAATGCATTACTTTCTTTACAACTTTATTATTTCAATAATTACACATTCAGAATTTAACATTTCAGCTCTTGTTGAAGAGGGAGAGCACTACAGCTATCATTTCATAGTAAACAACACGATGCAAAGCCAGGAATTTCACACTAAGAACCAGGAGAGGGAAGTCCTTCCAATCTATTCCCTAAAAAAGGAAGGAAAAGAAGTAAGTTAGTTGCCAGAATTAGAAGGGAGAAAAATATTTTACCAACCGCTTCTGTAGCTTTTCCTTCCAGGATATTTTGACCATAAAATTTTATGCGAGCTTGAAACTTAGCGAGTAAGGAAGATGCGGCATCCCAAAATGTCTCGTATTCTGCACTTTTTTCCTCTGGAAAAAAGAAAAAAACTCAGTGGGTTTGGGTTGGGGAAGAGGGAAAGTTAAAAAGGGAGAAAGTTACCTTCTCCTCGCACAGGCGGGACAATAAAGTCGGCAACAGATTCCATCGCTTTAATTATCATCTCCTTGGTGATGATTCTCTTAGCTATGTCCCAGATGATGTAGACGCAGTCTAAAGCTAAACTCAGAGCAGTCTTTCCGTAAGGAAGGAAGTAGGATGGTACTTTTATTTCAGCTAAGTACGAGACTATGTTCTCTCTTATCTAAGAGATAAAACGAATATATATAAAAAGGAATTTAAAAAACTCCCCATACAAACTTAATACAGTAAATCAATTTACCTCATTAGGTTGCTTTTTTGTGACAGGAAACTTCTCTTCCAATTTATCAAGTGATTTAACAGCAAAGTCATCAACAGCAGATACTAAAAAAAAAGGTTAGAAATAAAATTAACTGGTAGCAAGTATAATTAGTAGAAGCATTAGATATATTTACTTTGTCTATCAACTTTATGCAGTAATGGTTTAGATTTCTCGGCAGCACTTTGAAGCACATCTTTGGCACTTTTAACTGCAGCACCCACATATTCGATGTTTTGAACTTCCTCGTATTTTGCCTTGACATAACTCCAAGTTTCATTGATTACGGGAAAAGACAGGAGCTTATCGAAGAATTCCAAATGCTTTTCTTGAGTATCTTCCATTTTGACTTGTTGATTCGTCGTAGTAAATGGCTCTACTTCTCGTGCATTTATATAGCTCTCTACTTGGCATAAAAATATGCAAATCGAACTTAAAATTGAAGAATTTAATTCCATTGCCGCAAATAACTTTAAATTGTAATATAGAGTAATTAAAAATGTAAAAAGTAAAATAATTTTTCTTAAGTTAGTTTGGTTTATAAGCTAAATTTTAAATCAGAATTTCGATATAATATGAATATGTTAATTTAATGAATAGTTGTAGATTGTAGTTTCTTCAAAATATAATTCATTGTTTATTTCAAATTAATATTTAAATAAAAATTTAGTTTATTAATTTTTTAATAAAATCTATAAAAGAAGACAACAAAATAAAAGCAATAATTGATTCCGTTCTACAGAGCTGCTTGCTTGAAGAGGTTTTCGCAGTGGCTGAAAGCAGAATAAATTTAAAATTCTTGCAATTTGTTATTATTTACAGTAAAATTAATATTTTATCTTATAATCACCGCAGTCTGAACAGTTATCTTCGCAAACGCATTTATTGCCAATTAATCTAGGTACTAGTTCCGAATAGCATCTCTTCTTCTTACAGTCTGTTGAAGAATCTGGAAGAAAAAAAATCAATGTTTTCATAACAAAAATGCTAACACATCCATAATTATAGCCTATACCGCATTTAGGTCCCGGGCAGAGTAATTCGCATCGACATGATTTTATATCAAGCACAAAGCCAAAATTACAAATATTTCCTTCGCAGCAGCTTGGATTACTGTTTGTCTCTGTAAAAAGTGATTTTAAGTGAGTTACATCAAAATCTTGAAATAATAGACAATTTAAATAATTAATATACATATTCAAAGTTTACTAACGGCATTCTTGACACATCCTACGACAATAAGTACTTTTCACTCTACCTTCATCCATAGAGCAAAATAACTCATCTGGAAACCCGGAAGGTTTTCCGCATTTCGGACTTTCATCCATACAAGGCACTAAAAATTAAGCAACAGCATTAAAAATGTCTTATATTCAGTCACAGTCTTGTTTTCAGTCAAATTACCTGAACAATCCAACATGTCCCACCCATTCTTACAAATACAAGTGCATTTTTCCTCATTGAGCTGGCCGCAATTATGACACTTTAGAGAACAAGCTGCAGATGGGAAATAATAATCTTTCAGCAATCTATAAACACTTAAAAAATTTATATGTTGCCTGTAGTACTTACAGCAGTTGAATCCATAACTGTTGCATATTGCTTCTGTTACTATATGTATAAAAACATTGAAAAACTTTTATAAATAAAAAGGAAAAGAAAAGCTATGAAACTTACCACAGATATTCATGTAGCACAATCCATTATAAGATGTACTATGCAATTCACATAGAGAGCAAGATTTTCCCACTTTGTACAATTCTTCCCCTTCTATATAACTAAAATTTAAAAAAAAAAAACTGTAATATAATCTTTAAAAAAGTAAATAATAATGATTCTAAATACTAAGAATTCATATAATCTTTTGCAATACCAAATACGAGTGAAGTATGCAATAATTTCGAAAAATAAAGTATATTAGCTTCGTAATTTAATTGTACCTGACTAAATAAGGATAAATATATATCCTTACGGATCATAAATGCAGATTATACTCATAAATACTGGTATGTATAGGCTATTATATACCGATATTTATGAGTCTCAAACAAATTGTCTTTAAATATCATAGTCAGTCATTTTTATTAAAATATTTCTTATATTCTTGTTTTAACTATAATTACGACGAATAAAGATATTTGAAATAACTTTTCTTAAAATTTAATATGGAGTATATTTCTCAATTTGTAATGGATTGTTTTATTTACATAATTATTTTATTTTTAAAAATTTAATACTATTTTTAAGATTCGTCACTGTTTACCTTGCTATAATAAGTAGTAATGAATACCTATAACTACAAATTTGATTGAGAGATCTTTAAAATATATGAAAGAAATGAAATTATAACTCACGGTGGATGGTAATAGCAAACAATATATGTCTTTCCAGAACAATGCGATCTTCCGCATCCAAATGAAGTACTTTTAGAGTATACCATCTGTTCAAAAGAAAAAAAATTAATATAATGAATCTCAATGATTTGAGACAAAAATCTAATTTAAAAACCAGTTATTGCACATACTGAAGTATAATTATGACATCTGTTGTAAAACTGGCATTCATTAGCATGAAAATTGTAATATTTTTCTTCTTCAAGCCACAATTGAAAAGCGAATTTATAATCTTCATGTCCCATGAACATACTTTGAGATGGTTGTCTGAAATCTTCGAATCTTTGATCAATTCCTTTTCGAAATAAACATTTTTGTGACCATTTCTGTGCTAATGATTCTAAAGTATTATTCCATTCCTGCAAAATAAATTTGTTGAAATCAAATTTATTGAAAGCTATATATATATATATTACTACATCATACATTTTATATATGTGTAGATTATGAAATTCAACAGCACTCACTAAATATCGCATATTTGCAGCAGGAGGATAAACATTTCCACGATAAGTATTAAGAATATTTTGAATTTCCCATTTTTCTTCCACGTTGAAAGAGAACGAATGGTTCTCATTTTTGTTTCTTTCCAGTAAGATATCTGAATCAAAGAATTTTCCCTGAACAGACTTAAAAATTATAAAAATTAGCAGCTGGACGAGAATTTTCAAAGACATAATAATTGATTGGTAAATATTAATGAATTATACATTAACAATCTCAACAATTCTTCGATTGTTGATATTGCAATAGTATATCTAAGTGGTATAGCCCATTACTGTTGATATCAATAATAATAATTTTAAAAAATTTATTAATAAATAATTGAATAGTTATAAATTAGCATAGTGAATGATAATATTAAAAAGACATTATGAATACTGTATTAAGAACCATTAGAGATGCTGGCAATTTTTTCACTAATGTAAAAACCATAAAAGTTCATTTATTCTGGCGTATAATCTCAATTATCTTATGTTTTCGTTTCGTCCTAACTGTAATTTTATGTTTGATTATTTTTTTTTATAGATAAACCTATCTTTTAATCTATTTTAAATAGTAAATATGATTACTTAAAATACAGATTAAGCTTTGTAATATGAATATTAAATCGCATTCATTTCTTAACCAATCAACAGTGTTTCTGTATGATAAGATCTCCATAGTAATTCTGTGCTTATTTTCAAAGACTCTATTCAATGTAATTTAGTATCTCGAAGGCTTTTATTGGGTCAAATATTGTTTTATTAATTTATTTGCTTCCAAATACAAAAAACTAAATAAAAAAATGAATAGGTATTTAGTGAACAAACGTTACATTACATTAATTTAACTTTAATATATTTGAAGAAATAAAAATAAAATATACATATTTTTACCATTAAATAGTTTTTTTATTTGTTGATGCGAATAAAATTATTAACTGTTACGCGACGTAATATATTTTAATAAATTTATGCCTGCTTTCATATTCAATTTTTAACTAATATTTTAACTAATTTTAACTGATAATTTAAAACTAGTTAAAAATTCGATTCTAAAGAATTTTTAACTGGTAAAAACGTAAAAACTTTTTATTTTATAATGGACGGATTTATTTATAAGGATATAAATTTGTTGTAAAATGTTAAAATATGAGTAAAATAATAAGAAAACGGATAATTATTTTATTGTGGCATCGTCACAATGTCAGGCTGCAATTTTTAATCATGTTTTTAATTTACTTAATTTAAAATACATTCTCTCCACCTCAAATTAGAAGTGGCTTTCCCCTGTACATCATACTTTTCCTGTTATCAATATAGTCATGTCATATAGCAATATGATTTTGCATATTGAAAGATTTATCTTCGTCTTCGTTTCATGTAATAGCCTAAGTGTTAGTTAATTGAATGTTTTTAAAATAATAATTGAAATGATAATTTTTCTAATTATTCAAATCATATAAATCTATATATTCTTAAAAGACACTAACTTAGAAGAACGAGAAATAACTATCCTTGTTCTTATGCATCCATTATGAAATACATACTTAATGATGTTTATCTATTTATATTATTTTGAAAATAGCATTTTAAAGATACACATATCAATATAAATATGATAAAGTAAAAGAAAATAACTTTATAAGTGAGATTTTTGCACGTACAATTTATTTTTACACATTTAATTTGCGCAAATTTTCAGATCCGATAATATAATCCCGGTTTAATAGATTTAAGTCATTTTTTTCTTTCATATAGACATTTAGATGTTCTTTTTTAGAAGACTATTTCCATCAGTTTTTACTTAAAAACTTTTCATTAAGTGTCACATTAGGAAACCCTCATGTGGTAACTTTGTTATTCATTAAGAAAACTCATTAATCGGTCAATAACTTTCAATAATCATGGTCACTTATTTAATAGAGTGAGATATATCCTTCTCACGAATATTTTTACATTTCTTTTTCCGACAAAATAAAACAAACTTAGAATTTTTTCCTATAATTATTTAAATATATATAATTTTTTGCTTAAATTATTTAGTTATAATTACTGTTGATATTTATAAATATTTAATTTAGAAGTAAGAATTTATTACTTTAATTATTTTCTTATATTTTTAATTTTTCTTCCAAATGAAAGTTGGAATTTTTTTGGTCACGTGAACCAATTTAACTCTTATTTAAAATTGATGTATTAAAATCTTTTAAAAATTATTATAATAATATAAATATACATTTCGTTAAAAACATAACTATTTTAATATTCTATTATAAAATATATTTTAATTTGACTTTATAATTAGTTGCATTTGTCATACTTATTTGAATCCAGTCATTATGCATAATATTGAAAATTAATAAGAATTTTGTTTACGTTTTGAAAAAGTGAATTATTGAAATGATTTATTTTCAATAAACAATTTTTTGACTGGAGTAAGACATAGTTTATACGCGAAACATTCGCAATTAAAACATTAATATAAATGTACAAAAATTCAGGAATAAAAATGAATCTATATGTTTTCATATTATAAACTAGAAAATTTGTTTTCTTATTGGATTGCAGTGATAAATTAAGGCAATGCAACCATTAGGCGATCTGCTAAGGGTTGCGTTCAACCAAGGGTTGAAATCATCCCGGGAAATATCCCCGGGATGATTTTCTATGGAAAATTGGCCTCTACACGCAAAGAAAACTCGGAAAGTTTCACGTGGCCAACTAGTTAGTCAGGCACGAATCCGCAACCAACTACCTTCAATGATTTTATCCATTCGGCCACTGGTAGGCAAATTTCAATATTATCACGAAAGTTTCTGCTCTAACACATAACATAGCTTACATTATATAGCCTATTATATAAGCCCAAAGCAGGGATGGACCCACGGTGGTTACAGAAGCCTAAGCCCTTCCCATTGAGTATAGAAAAAGGTCCTCTTAGTACCTACAGGACGGTAAAAGCCAAAAATAGCAATTACGCATATTGGGTCACTAGCGAATATATTAATGGATAATATAGCCATTCTAAAGTTTCCCAAATGGTTAGAGATAAATCACTCCATTATCAGAACATGCACTGATATTGGATGGAGACTCTCTATTCGAACTATTCAAGGAAATTAGAATTGGATTTGGATTTGATAAAAGAAGGCAACAACGCATGGACGATCTGCCAAGAGAGATGCTTCCAAGAGGACTTTACAGGAAACTGGCTCTTATTTAGGTGTTAGATACACGAAGAAAATCCGGAAAACTTCACGGGGCTAGCACGTTGATGAGGAGCAAACTCACGATCAACCAGTGTTCAGTGGTTTTATCTACTTGGCCACTGATGGGCTGAAAATTAGAAAGATCTGAATCAAATTCAAACCTGAATTTTTCATAATGAATCGCACAGCCATCCGCCCAATAAAAATTAATAAACTTATAATTTAAATGACGATATATATTTTGCTTCATTTCTGCTCTTTTATCTGTTACAATTTTTTTAAATTTATATTTGTATTACAAAAAACTCAGAACTACTAATTATATAACGTATTCCAAATGAACAAAACCAAAATTGAATCGATAAAAAATTATTATAAATGAGAAATACAATATCTTGGGATATATATTGTATATTAAAACAATGAAAGTATTCCAAGGCTAATCCACGAATAAACCTCATACGGCCAGAATAAGAGTCAATCTGTTTCTCTGAGGAATTCTGCTTCAAGTCTGGATCAAGAACTTAGGGTGGTTGTGCCGAATATATCAGGCCTCATTCGTCACCAACCAGCCACCACCACCATCATTGGCCTAGCCGAAACGATAATGGTTATAAGTATAAAGGCCCTCTTAATGCTCTTAGGGTAGAAACAGTCAAAATTGAAAATGAAAGCGAACACGACTCCGTAAATCGGATCAAATGAGATTAGAATAAAGAAGATTTATTTACCAAAAATTATTACAAATTTTATAAATCTATCGAAACATAATTAAAGAAATTTTACGATGCTCTCGTTGATTCTAAAATTTAAAATAAAAAAATTATTCAAACAATAAGAAAGAATTTATCTTAGTACTTTCAGTTTTATATTGACTTGTCGGGTGATTATGCAAGAAAGTTTTATTCAAATTAAATAATGAGGCAGTTAAAAGATACTTGAAATGTTTCTATAAATTTCAAAATATCTAGAATTATTTTTAAAAAAAGAAACACAATTGTCAACTCAGAGTTTAAACCGAAAATTCAGAGGTAAGATTAATATTTTAATTTAAGCTTTTAATTATAATAATAAAAAATTAGACAAATGACTAAAGTAAATCTATACAGACATTGAACAAAAATAGAAAATACTTTTAAAATAATAAGCATGTATAGGATTGTATATTTAGAATAAGATTATAAAAATGATTATAAACATTAAAAAGTAATTAATTTGGATGAATATAGTTTTCCTCGCAGCAATAGTTTATCTGTAGAAATCTCATGCAAAATTAGATATAAAATGTAAAACATCAATCATAATTAATACATAACAGACTACTAATATTGGAGTAACCAAACATTATAACCCGCATAGATAAAAAAAAACACAATAAATATTTATAAGGATTGTTAATATTTAAAGTTATCGTTATCAATTTCTTTCATTGTTTTGATCCAATTACGAATTAGGAGAGAAAACATCCGCCGATAACAGGATAAGACAAGTGAAATGTTTATTTCAATGTTCTTCAAAATTATTTTATATAGTATTTTTTGTTAGCTGTAACGCATAAAAAATATAGAAAATTAATATTTTATTTCATAATTCTCTTATATTCTAATTTTAAATGTAGTTGTAGAGCGTATGTTAGAATAAAATACTGTATAAAAATTCGGATCAAAATATAATAAAATTTGGCTTTCTTCCGTTATCAGGAAAAGTCAACTTTAAATATTAAATTAATTAAAATAATCAAATTATAACGTATGTTATGTTCATAATAATTAATAAACATAAAATCAAAAATTCTATAAATCCAAAAACTTTGAGATTTTAAAGTCAATTGAAGAAAGTGATACCAAAACAATGATATGAGTCATCTGTTTTCATTTAATTTTATTTAATTTTAAATATTTAATAGCTTATAACGCAGTTACAAGCTTTTGCTCTATCTAAATATTGTGTAATCGCAAAATAAACTCATTTTTAGCGTTTTTTTTTAAGAGAAGCCATTTTTTAGTTATGAGTTTATAATTTTAATGGCCAAATAGAAAATGTAATTAAGCTTAATCGAAAAAGTAGGATAAATAGAAATTTTTAAAACAGAGAATGATGCAAATTATATATATATATATTGATATGTATGTATTGCTTACTTCTATATAAGATATAAAGTCGAATAATACATATGTAGGCCTATACATATAGTTTGCATCTTTCTTTGTTATAAGAATAAACAATAATTTAATTTTATAAAATTTCTAAATTGAAAAATTGAATGCAAATAGAACGAATGAAAAAATAAAAAAGTATAAATTTAATATTAAAAATTTGAATATACAGATTTTCGATAATAAAAGTAATTTATTAACTGATTTCATTTTATAAAAATAAAATGAATTATTTCTCACATATTAATAAAAATTTTCCTTTTGAATTCGTACATAGAAGAATACATTTTTATAAACGATCAACTGTAAATTCAGTGTATTTTATATTCAATTTTTTCCATTTCTGGTTCTTTTCACTCTGTGGACACTAAGAGGGTCTTTTTCTATACTCATCGTAGATTCGGCCAGGCCCACAATGGAGGGACCGAATGGCTAAGGATTCAACGTATCTGTCATGGATATGTTGGATCGCTCATGAAAAATTCTTAAGGTTTTCTACCACCCAAATTCGATATCGAGTTTCCCAGAAGGTAGACTAACGCGTTAATTGCATCAACCATCCAGTCCAATATATCTTTTTTATTAATTTATATCGTATTTATTACATTTATAAATCTGTATATAAAATAGAATGTCTGTCTGTTTTCCATACATTTCTAAATCCTTTCACCCCTCTGGACCAAATTTTTCAGAGTTATTCTCTTAAGTTACCATAAAATCTGGATCCTTCTAATTTTATCCCCATAACACTTTGTGTACTTTAAGTTTAATGAATTATTATATAAGTAAGCAATGAGTAAAATATTAATTACAATTGTTAAATCGAATATTTACAAAACTTTAAAAATTAAATATTTTTACAATTTTTAATCATATTTTTTTTATTTAATTTTAAATATTTAATAGCTTATAACGCAGTTACAAGCTTTTGCTCTATCTAAATATTGTGTAATCGCAAAATAAACTCATTTTTAGCGTTTTTTTTTAAGAGAAGCCATTTTTTAGTTATGAGTTTATAATTTTAATGGCCAAATAGAAAATGTAATTAAGCTTAATCGAAAAAGTAGGATAAATAGAAATTTTTAAAACAGAGAATGATGCAAATTATATATATATATATTGATATGTATGTANAATTAAGAAAGAAATTTTTATTCAAACTTACTACAAATTTATTAATATTAAAACATATTACAAATAACGTTTTGTACATTTCTCAGATTTCTTTCTGCAATTGTAAAAGAGTTATTCATTGAATACAAAAAATTATTAAACGTAGCGTTTAAGAAAGTTATTCATTGAATAACTCTCTTAAACGCTACGTTTAGTAATTTTTTGTATTTATTAATTAAAATAAAACAAACTAAAACCAAGAAAACATTTGTGGTTTCAGTTTTTCAGATTTTTAAAATCAAGTAAAGATTCTTGGTTTAAAAAACTGAGCTATTTTCTATTATAATCAGTCAATAATATTTGCAATGCATGTAAAAATAATAATTCAAAAAATTTTTTCGAAATAATTGTTCGACTATTTGCTTTCCTCTTTGAAATTTCTCATTTTACATTTATTTCTCCTTTCTAATCAAATAATTACCAATAATGTAACAATTAGTAATATTTATTAAGAATTCCTGAATTTAAATGAGTGTTTTATAAGAATGCAATTTAAAATATGAAATTTATTGTAAGTTTATATATTGAGGTAAGTATTATTTTTTTTACAATCGAATAATTAAATATGTTCATCATTAGTAGCTCATATATAAGCATGTTTATCATTAAATATTCTACATTATTATTATTTAAATAATAAATTTCCCAAGGGTAATCTATCTGAAATAAAACGTTTTTCGTCATAAAAATGATGCCTATTTAGCATTCTATGATTGCATTTTTTGTAGTTTTTAATCTATTGAACTGCTCGTTAAGATATGGTTGCAGCCCGATAGAATTTTTTTTTTTATAAATATTATATAGTTTTAAATTGTAAACCCAAAATCATGTTAATGAAATAAAAGTTATAAAATCTTTACAGCTATTTTTTTTTATTTCTTATAAAAAAGAAAATATTTAGTAAAGGTTTAATTGTTTTTGAGGCTGGTAATATGACATAAATAATAGAATATGTTACGTAATTGAGAATGGCACAAAATGCTGGTTTTGTGCCACTTCCGATTATTTACTTAAAAAGATTTAGTGATATTTTATGAAATTAAATTGCAATTTATATTTTATCTAAATTAGATAAATGGAAGATTTTTAATTTACATGTTTGCTAATTTAATTATTAAAATATGATTATATTTTCAAACATTTTATTGAAGATAATTATTTTAGCATATGAAAAAATGGATCAGAAAAATCTACTAGATAAGTCGTACAACATTATAACAATAAAATAATAACATTTAGATTCGCAATTTCTAATCGGTATAGTGACAGCACATGACTTTTTGAGGCCAGGATTTCTGTAAAATTAATGTTTATGATTTTAGAGTTAAATTTCTATTTAAAGGATGATTAAAACTTTATTATAAGATATAAGTTTATAGGCTACGTTACATGATTCTTATTGTTTGACTTCGACAATCCTTTATCTACGCGTGTATACTCCATCATCTGTACTTTTAATTATGAAAACATTTGAAAGTGGGTGATAACGATTCGGCCACCCTCATATCGCGTCCAATCATTAGTCATAAGTAAGTACATTCATTAAACGGTCGCTAACTTCGCCTCCATCTTTACTTTTAACCAATGGCATTAATCGTAGTTATTAACCAATAGAAACCTTCTTGTTTCGTATTTAAAGCTTGACACAATATTCGCCTTAATTGATATTTCTGTTGCAACAAGAGGTAAGATCTTTGTTTGTACTTCCGTTTCCTTTTACAATAATTACAATATCATATTATAGTCTTGTACTGAAATAAGATCATAATTATTTATTTTTCTGTAAATGACATTATTTTTTATTGATAAAACCTGTCGAAAACAGCTTTTTAATGAACCGTATGTTAATTAAAATATGACAATTTTACTTTTGTATTTTAAATATGGAATTTTTACAAGTTTCTTACATCAAATGCTGACTTTCGATATTTAATGAAGCAACAAATGCGATGATTAACGAAGACTTAAACGAGGCGAACCCGTATTTAATGGACGGAAAAGCTTCACTAATAGCAAAAAGCCATTATGATAATGTCTCTTTAACAAGTTTAAATTCGATTTTGGATAAAGAAAAAATTTATTTATATTTATTCATAAAGTCATCATTGTAAAATTCATAAGTATCTTTTCTTTTTTTTTTAACTTTTGGAATCGCGCATTATACGTGAAATTTTGATTGGTTAAACAATGGAGAAAGTAATGCAAAATATTTGGATGAATATATTTGTTTTTGAATATCTATAGTTAGGATTAAGTCCTCATTTATGCGGATACATCTCATTTTTAGGGTAAAAATTACTGCCGGCACGCATTTTTGTAAATTCCCTGTCTGTTTTCCAGTAATTTGACGTTTTTTTCTTGCGATACCTCATAAAACCTGGAAGATTTTTCTCTATCGGTAACAGCGTGGCATTAAATTTAACTTCAGTTGGCTACCGGACCAATTACATCGGCAATTGAGTACCATTTCTATTTCCGATATTACATTTTTAGCGTCGTTTTTCGTTTCACGTTTCCGGTTTTGATTCCGGTCTTCATTAGCAGCCATCTTTGCTTTCGGTCACTTGTGAATAGCGTGCAACATTAGCTTTTGTCGTGTATTTACTGTTCGTGATAATCTACAGTTTATCCATCCAGATTCATCGAAGCAATTACTTTCTTGATGCACAATAGTGAATTGCTAAAATAAAATTAAATCTAGTGACAAAAATATACGTGGACTTAACAGTAAGTAAAGAGTCTGAATGATCTTTGATTTCTGCTATATTATTTTTTACATTCTCTGCTATCGAGCTTTGTTATACTTTGGGTATCGAGCTAGCTGTGTCCTCATTTTGGGGGTTTTTGTTTTCTTGACTCTTTCTGCTCTGTGGAGACTTTTACTCGAGCACATCGTTGGTTTGGTCAAGCCACAATAGAGGAGCCGGATGGTAAGAGATGGAACTCGACATATCCGGAATGGCCACCCCTGAAAAATTCCTGGGGTTTTTCAATCGCTTCCGGGTCTCTCAGAGTGGTAGGTTGGACCTTAATCTGGTGCTTTTCAACCTTTTTCTAACATTTGTATAATTACTAATTATCAATAAACAATTACCAAGTTGAGGAACTTGGTAATTTTTTCTTGAAGCACCCGCTGCTTTTTGTATTCTTTAACATGTATTATAAGTACTGTACATGCACAGTACAATTCGTTTAAATTGTATACAGTATTTTCAATAAAATTATTATAAAGATATTAAATAATTTATCATTTTAATTACATATGAATATACAATAATTCTAATAATACATGTAAATAGCGTTAAATGTGCTCGTCAGTATATTTCGCGGCAACCAAGTTGAAAATGATTTAACCATCCGGCTCAGCCATCCGGTCGTCTCATTTTGGGATTTCACAATATGATAACTATATCTATTCTTTTTATGAAAGACAATTTGAAATATTTCGATAAATTTACATTTCTAAATGACAGTGATTTATGTTAATCTTCAAGCATTTTCCTTCTCTTTTCTATTTCCTGTTTTCTATTTTTTGAAACTTTTTTTTCGCTTCAAATATGGAGTTTTTACATTTTTCTTTGGCAGAGTGAAGAAATTATTTGTCAAACACTTCATTTACTTTCCTTATTTCAGAATGAAGACACTTTTCTTACTGGTGACAGTAATACTGTTGTGCCATGGGCAGGAAATTTTACCTACCACATATGTAAAAATTTGTACCGGACAAGAATTAAAAGAAATAATCACGGCCATGTGCTCTGTCATGAAAAGAAACGTGCACCCTTTACGTATAAGGCAATGTAAGTCCTCTACAATTGTTTAACGAATGCATTTAATTGATTTATAATAATAACACAATATTCCATTTTTAGATACAACAGATGACATTATAGAAGTATGCTGCTTACAACCTTGTCAGGCTTCTCTATTTATAGGCCTCTGCGCTTGAAGTTTCTTTACGAAATATGTGAGTAAATCTTATGAATTACGATAGGTACGATGTTTAAAGTTAAAACTAAATTAATTAATTCTGTGATAGCTGAAACATAACCAAGAAAAATTATTAATGGTTAAATTATACCAACTATTGTGTGATAACATACAAAGTTTTTGAATGTAACATACCTTCAGACAATACTGTTTATTCATGAGTCTGGAACCGCAAAATTTATATTGATGTTTGTTTGTTTATTCTTTTACTGGTAAAGCATGGCTCTGAACAAAGAAGAACGAATTTGAGTTATTTTGATACGCTGGGACCCACAGTCATTGAGAAATCTCGCGAAGAATTTAACAGGTTACATCCAGATTGCTGCATATGATTGGTGAGAAATCTGGATGCAGCCTATTAAACTCTTTAGCAACATCATACTGACTTCAGGTCCTAGTATAAAAATTGAATTTATTCCTCACTCAGCCTTTCTTGTAAAAGAATAAAAAATGGTCAATATAAATCCTGTGGTTTCAGACTTAGGAGATATTCTGTTGTGTATATGTAAAAATTTAATAAATTTATTCTATGTTTAAAACATTTCATTGGATAATAATGCCCTATTGATAATGTACGATGAGGTTTAAATGTTTAAATTCAAAATTGTATAGAATTCTGTGTATTAGATCTAGCATATATTTACATTTTTTATAACTATTTTTTGTATTTATTTTCAGATATGAACAACTAACGCCACTTAATAATTGAGTTTATAGTATCTTTGCTGGCATTATCTGTAACTAATAATATTTTTTCATGAATCATTCTTCCATTTTTCATAAACTTCACATTTGAAGAAAATAAAATGCATTTATGAAAAATATATTTGGCTTAATTTTATATTTTCGAATTCAAATATATATTTGCCGTTTTATCAAATTTATATTAACAGTAAACCTTACAATTAGCAATTATACGCCTACACTTAATTTAATTCTTATAATAACTATTAATTAACATTCATAAGTTGTATTGTTTTTGTTTCTCATGCGGTTGCACTCCGTCTATATTCGACGCGATGTTTTGTTTCACACTGTTGAATTAGATAAAAGAGCTTGTTGCAGACGAGGGGAGGGGGAGGAAGTTTAGACTACAAAACGTAGCCATTGATCATTTCCAGGATGAGAGGATGGTTCCTGAAAAGTTTCATTGCATTCAATCGTGTTCAAATATATAAACATCATATGTAATTCAAAACTTAAGCAGATAGAATATAAAACTTTTCTAATTTAATTAAAAGAATTTAACAGTTATTATAACTTTAACATCAGTATTAGGGTTTCTCATTTCCCGGGAAATTTGCCTCCAGCGGGATTACGGGAAAAATAATTTCTTTTCCCGGGATCCCGGGAAATTCCGGGATGAGATAGTAAAATAGAATTTTATATGAATAAAAAAGATCATACAAAAATATCATATATTTGAATAATTTAATTTATTTTCTAGTAAGTAACTAAAGGTGTAGGGCCAATCTCACCCATACGGACACGTTAGGCTCAATTAATTTATGTTCTCCTACATTATAAGATGAAAGTAAAATAAAGCGTTTCATTGGGAGTTTTAATGATTACGAAAAAAAAATACCATTTTATTTCTAAAGATAAAATAAAAAATAAACTAAAATGCGATGAGTGATTTTTACTTTCAGCGAGTGCTCCGCTGTTCAATGGTGCGCAAACACAATACATAGATATTACATGAACTAACAAGTAGAAACTTGTAAAACATAGGTAATAATATGCAACATGAAACCTCAAAATTTCTCTCTTAGGTGAGTCTTCAAGATGCAACTTTTCGTATAATAAATAATAGAAAGAAAACCTGACATGATAAATTATTATTGAAACGCGAGATTTCCCGGGAAAATAAAATTTCCCGGGATTTTTCTCGTAGGGAATAAACGGCGGGAATCCCGGGAAAACGGGATCCCGGGATCCCGGGAAAGAAACCCTAATCAGTATATTATATCTACATAACAGTATATAACTTTAAAATATGAAAAAAATGATTTTATTCACTAATTTGATTATTATTTAAGTTTTATACATCATATTGAAAGAAATGCAAGATATCATCATTACAGTAATTAACTAATTATGAGAATATTATGAGAAAAAACCGATTGTACTGTAAATATACAAATAACATAAATTATTATTTAAAGGTAGCACCTACTCTTCTTTAATATAAATTGCTTACTCGATATATTTACATATTTTTAAACTAAATAAATAAATTACCTATTGGGCAGATTATATATATATATAATAATTATTTTCTTAAAAAATTAATAATTGATCAAATAAATGAAAGATAATATGCCTATAATATAACCAGTGATGTAGCAACAAAATTTTACTCATTTAGATTTGTAGACAATCTATTCTAGTAGAATGAATTACTAATTGAAACATTGGTTTTGATTTTTTTAACTCTTTCCATCCGGAAAGTGCTAAGAGGGCTTTTATTTAAACTCGTTGCGAGTTCAGAGACTGCTTACAATGGAAACGGATAGGTGGAGAAGGAGTATGTAAGGTGGTAAGAGTCAGCCTGCCACACTTCTAGCGTGGCAGGCTGACTCTTACCACCTTACATACTCCTTAGATGATAAGAAATCACATCTGAATTGAATAATTCATGAACTTTTATGCTATATCTTTCGTGAATATATCAGGCCCTTCCTTCATATATTTAATTATAATTATTAAATATAGCAATAGATGACGCCTAACGCCGCTTCTAGTGTCAAATTACTTAGCATTTAATTAATAATAGTAGTAGTAATACAGCTCGATATAATTCGGCAATCGTTTGGCTTTAATATACATCTATCAGATTTAGATGTTTGCATTTGTATAGAATGCTCGATTTCAAGATTAATTAAATACTTACAATAAAAACAGCTCGGAAATTAACGAGCATATAGAAATAGTTGGAAATAAAGCAAGAAGAAATGAAAATAAATACAAATAATAATAATAAATTGTTTTTGTACAACTCCATTATTTCTAAACGGATGAAAGGCATTGTACGTACGTCTTTATAATTGATGCAAAAAAGATTCCTTGCAGAAGATCCAAAAGAGGAACTAACCATGTTAAGTCTTCTATAACATACTGTACGTCGCTAGTGCGGTGACTGGCTGTTTGTTCTGTACGTTCCTTTTATGTTCTTTTAACCTTTCTTTTAATGACCTCCCTGTGGCTCCGATGTAGTAAAGCTCTTTTTGTCGTCTTTCGTCTTGTACGGGTATTCTATAAATTCCTGCGATAAGGCTCTGGTTTATGTCTTCCTTGTCCGTGCACAGGCCCGTCTTTGGTACGTGTGAGGCCCTGGGCCAAGAAAAGCTTGGAGATCTCTTTAAGGAATTCGTAATGGAAAGATAATGTTCATAAACTTTTTCAATTATATTTCTCTGCTAAACATGTTGTTATATTTATGTTTAATAAATACTGTTTATCAAACGTTTCTTTTGATTGTTTACTGTTTACAATAATTTTATTACTTGTTGCTCTATTCAATTTTGCATATTTTCGAGGTCTAGAATATTAGGAGGTCCCCAATGTCTGGAGGCACCTAGGACCAGGCCCGGTAGGCCCACACCTAAAGACGGACCTGCGTACGTAGCATCTGATATATTGTCGGATCCCTTTCAAAAATTATCTTTTTGCTTGTTGCAGCTCCTATTTGTAAATATTGCTTAGGGGTGCCGTGCAAGGACTATATACTACAAGGATAGCCAGATCCCTATTCTACAATGTTAGCCAGGAATGCCAAGTTAGTGACGTCAGCACGAGACCTGACCTCTCTGTTTACATAGAGCAGGGTGTGCACGTGTTTAGTTTTCGCTTTTAATATTCGTCCAATTTTGTGATTAACAAAGTGATTTATTTTAATATTTCTGTAATTGTTTTATTTGACTAAGTTTTTTATAAGGTAAGATGATTTAAATATAAGTCATTAAATATTTAAAGCTATATTTTTATGTTAGGTGAAGAACAAAATGCTGAGTACTAGGTGTGCTGTGTATGGTTGCAATAATAACCTTCTTTTTTCAAATTGGAAGCAACCTGTTTACATCGGGTTTGATCAAAAAATGACAAGAGAAATACTTTTAAAATTAATAGCAGAACTTTATTTACTATCGTATAATGTAGTAGCTTGCGTCAGTGACTGTAGTTGCAGTAACATAAGTTTATGGAAAGAATTGAATGTGAATATCAATGAAACGTTTATTATGAATCAATTATTATTATCAATGAAACGTATATTAGAGATATAAATATGTGGTTCGACATTTTTAATAGCTATGCACCAAAAGGTTCTGTTCCAAGCAAAAATGGATATGGTGTAGACTTGGAATTACAAGAAGAACATTTAAATAAAATGATAAAAATAATCTCAACAATGAGAGCAAGTGGAAAAAATGCCCTCCAAATTTTCCAGAAAGGAATGATAATCTCAATGAAATCGCTAATTGATCTTTTTCAAGATATGAAATCGACTTTTGATATAAAATACATCTGCACTCACAATTTAAATCAAGATTGTCTGGAAAACTTTTTTTTTTAAATTAGAAGCCGGGGTCCTAATGAACATCCAAGCCCATTAAATGCTATATATAGGATTAGATTGATTATTTTAGGTAAGAATCCTGGTATTTTAGAGTCAAAAGTAAATACTACAGATCGAAGACAAGAGGAATATATTATACCCAAAGTTTTAGAGAAAGCACATGTAGAAGTATCAAGTGAAAATACAGACCAATATACTGAATGTAAAACTACTTTTTCTTCAAATAAATCTTCAGGAAACTCTACATGCAATCTAGACTTTAACACAATCTCTGAAGAAACTTCCTACGATGCTCTCGAGTATATAGCAGGATATTTTGCCTATAAATATAAAGAAAAATACCCAAACTTAATTAATTCCACTAACAAAATTAAAAATCATTACAACTATAGCATTCCGTCATGGGTGCAACATTTATCTTATGGAGGGCTTATTAAACCTACTGATGAATGGCTAGCAAAAATTATAGAATGGAATAAATATTTCGAAATATATCACGATGAATCGTATAAAAAAGGCCCCGGAGTTGTACAGAATTAGTCAGTGGAAACAGTTTTACCTTTTACTTTAATAAAAGATTTTTGTAAATTAAGAACTATAATAAGAATTAATTATAGAAATCTTAAACAAGAAAACTATAAAATATTGAAAAGAATGCCTTCTGAAAATGGTGATTGTCGAAAAAAAATTAAAAAGTTAAGTAAGATAATCACATATTAAAAAATATAGCTCATTAATTTGTTAAATAAATATTAGACAAAAGACTTGTAAATTTATTGACGTACAGTACACTTATTAAATCCGAAAATTCTACAGTAGTTTACATTTAGTAGTAATTTAATAATTAATTAAGAAATGATTTAATATTTTATCGTATTTTGTTATTTGAAAGATCTGTCATGTTGAAGTAGAGGGCTTGCTGTGACGTCACATAGATCCAAGGTCACGCTAACAAATATACGGGATCTGGCTATCCTTGTAGTTTAAAGTCCTTGGGTGCCGTGTATTCCATTACGGTGCATTCTATTCTTTCCTGTTCATTAACTTCGTTATCTTCTATACTAGAATTAAGGAACATGAATATAGTGTGAGGAAAACAAAATGAATTGCAGCATTAGCATCATGTTTACTATCCTTCAGAACATGCTACATTTCAATGAGACACATCAAGTCAAGGACATTAGAAATAAAAAACTAGTAAATTTTTTTAAAAGTTAACCATATACCTGCA